GACAGATCTTGAAGTGGCGCCTTTTGTTATTTGCAGAGTTTTAGTATTTATATTTTTCATGATTTCCATGGAAACAATTTGGACTAAGTAAAAACAATCAAGTTGAACTATCAGTAACTGTCAGATGATTTGTTCTTTCAAATTTCTTGAGCCTGGGGGGATTTGTCATCTATTGATGACTCTGGTTTTGATAAGTTATAGCAGTGAGTTTCACAAAAAAATAGACATGTCGTCAAACACAAAGCTATATCTCTTCTATCCCTTTGTTTTTCTCTTGAACTTGCCCTTGCAATGGGCAACAGACAGTGTCATCCATGGTTTCTTCTCTCAACTTTCAACCTTGACTACCAGTAAATAAAGTGCATATCAATGTTAATTATTAATTATCACTTTAATTTAACATGAATAAACTTCATGCACAATTTCATATCCTTATCATTGTTAATGTTCTCAATAAACATCTAATTGCACCTTGAAAAGCAGACTTTCTAACTAACACTTCATTGATAATTTGGAAAGCCTGCTATTTTTGCTGTCAAACGATAAGAGGTACTGTAATTTTTGCAAATGAATTTTCTTCAGTTGACCTAACAAATAAAAGTCTTCTGTCCAATGGTGTATGCACAAGAGTTTAAGTATGATATGTGGCATTGTGCTGTGATTTGAATGATCCCCTCATTCAACGATTTTTATTTATTTGTTTATAATTCATGATGACAAATAACACTTTTTGGCCACTTGGTTGCTAATATGGAAATGAAAAGATGATTTGGGCAAGGTTTGTAGCTGGTGCTTGAGACCTAATACAACATGGAAATATTTAAAATATTATACAATGTAGGAGAGTTGTGAACTGAGAAATATTTACGGTTTCTGGGTATACATGAAATTTATAGATAATTAATTCGTGAACTCATTACTTATTTAAGTCCTAAATTCAATTAGTAAACTGTGTTTTTTTAGGCAAATATTCAGGAGTAGTACAGAGACGCCCATGGAACTGTGAAGGTGACAGCAATAATCTAATATTATATGAAGCATTGAAAACTCACCAGCAATTCCTTTGAAAACAGCTGTTGAAAAAGCAGGGGTGGTCAGTCAGTCTAGATTGGAAACGAAAATCTCCATACAATCGTTTCAATTGCCTAAAATGTATGAAAATGTGTTGTCAACAAGCAACGAGGTATGGAACACGTGTGTTACTATTTTTGGGAGGGATATCCCCTTCGCGTCACAGGTCACGTGATTCAAAATGGCCCCTCTCATATGTGAGCGATCGACTGAGATGTTTGATGGCTTGTAAATATATATTTTTGGATATTTTGATAACGAAACTAGGGCGCACGTGTAGGTATAAGTACAAAGAAGTAATTCATATAAGTTTTTTCGTGCGCAAAAATCGTAACGAGTGCGCGAAAGTGCGACAAAGGATTTCCACCATTGGGGCATATGGAGGTGCTGCATAGCGTTCATGTCAGTGACCGCTATGTATCTTAGCTAATCCGCAAGCAGCTCGGAGAACACGTGCCCGGTTCTGTTATGGACGTTTGCAGATTAAATATGACCATTAAAAGTGCCCATTTCTCCCCATTGTGAATGCGACCCGTGAAAATCCGGGTTAGAATTGATCTTCAGCAAACCCACGCTTGTTATTAGAGGCGACTAATGGGATCGGGTGGTCAGGCTTGGTTGGCACATGTCATCGCATCCAAAATGCGTAGATCGATGCTCATGGTGCTGATCACTGGATTGCCTGGCCCAGACTAGATTATTTACAGACCGCCGCCATGTAGCTGGAATATTGCTGAGTGAGCATGAGTATGAGGGACAGTATACATTAGAATGTTTCATAAATACGTTTGGCTTAAAAATATTAAAAAAATCGCACCAAATTGAAAAGTTGGCATCATGTTTCACTCACCCGTGTAGCAGCACAAGATGTCTGATGTCTTCTAGAACTGTCGTTCTCCACCTGTTTGGTGAGTTCCACTGCTGTTGACAACCGTATCCTAAACACATATAGAAAAAAGTCGTTAGTAACTGTGGCCGTGGTAACCAAATGTAAATCTGAAGGTTATGATGTTTGGCTGGCACCATAACAAATTTCGCTGAGGTATTGCATATTATACTTATGTACATAGCTCTAGATGTTTCTTTTAATTAGTGTTTTTGAGAGCAAATGTGTATTTAAATTACTGAGCAGTGGTGAATTGTTGAATGAATCAATGAATAGCCATTTACGTCACGTGATGTCAATTCTCAGCCGATGTCGATTCCCGGGGATGCTCCTTTCCACAAACGCTGTGGGAAGTTCACACTGCCAAAACAATCGATAATCAAGAGCTTCATGTCATGTCCTGGGAGTAGCTTAGCCAGGTAGAACTGAAGGTAAAAGGTATTATAAACGTAACGCTCTATGTTCGGTGGGTGACGTGTCACTCGGTAACGATGTATGAAGAAAAACCCACGTCGATGCAGGCATTTGCAACCAGCACTGTGGCAACAAGCCTAGTTGAGTAGTGGGTGAGTATGGTTTTTCGCCGCTTTTAGCAATACATCAGCAATACCACGGTGGAGGACATCAGAAATGGGCTTCACACATTGTACCCATGTGGGGAATCGAACCCGGGCCTTTGGCGTGACGAGCGAACACTTTAACCACAAAGCTATCCCACCGCCCCTGTTGGTTCGAGATGCCATCGTCTCACCGTCTCACCATTTAACCACAAGGCTTCCCCAACGCCCTGTTGGTTCGAGATGCCATCGTCTCACCGTCTCACCGTCTCACCATTTACCCACAAGGCTACCCCAACGCCCCTGTTGGTTCGAGATGCCATCGTCTCATGGTCTCACCATTTAAGCACAAGGCTACCCCACCGCCCCTGTTGGTTCGAGATGCCATCGTCTCACCGTCTCACCATTGCCTGGCATCGTGAGCATTTCATAATATTTAATAAACATATGCTTACAATTTTAATATGGTCGGAATACAATATTTTGATAGCGATGATAATTATGATGTTTGCTTTTTGTTTGTTGTCTAAGGCCGCACTCAGCAATATTCCAGCTATATGGTGGTGGTCTGTCAATAATCGAGTCTGGACCAGACAATTCAGTGATCAACATCATGAGCATGGGTTACGATGACATGTGTCAACCAAGTCAGCGAATCTGACCACCTGATCCTGTCAGTCGCCTCTTATGATATCCTACAAACCAAGACTAAAAACAACAAAGGGAAGTAGGACTGCGTAGAATGTAAGCGAGACATATGAAAGACGTGGTCCGCATTTTATCAAGCTATTCCTGAATCTTGTCAATCACATTGCTATCAAATGTGACAGAAAGTACGGTAACATATCTAATTTCAGTGGCTTTAGCAAACTGGACAAGATCGGGTTTGTAAGCAGGGTTTTTCTTCAGCTGTGTATGGGCATATTCCAAAGACGTTTAAAAGCGTCGATTTCCATGACGCCCTGTACATGTTCAGGGTTGTCACCTGGGTGGACCGTTGGGTCAAAGCCACGGGCATGGCGGAGACGGTATTCAGGTCGGCGGATCTGTGAACCAAGCACCATTATTGTTTTGTCCATATGGATATCAGCACATTAACACATGCAGCAGCTGCCAGCGTTTTGCATCCTAATTACTACTCTGGAAAAACAGACATACCTGATGGATAAATTCCTATTGTTAATTTAAGTAATCAAAACAAGGTACATATTAAAACATATCAAACATCGAACCGTCTCAGCATATTGATTAATTGAATTACAAAAAAACAAACATAACAATTTGAATGCCGAATCTCAGTATTAAACGTCCCAACCGATACTGAAACCATTAAAACTGAAAATACAATTTTGAAAACACAGTTAATGTTCGTGAGAGTAATTTAATTCCAAAACGTATGACCCTCTATTTTCAGTAATTTATCACCCTCATGCACACAGCCTTACCTTCAGGTTCATTGTAATGGGGCCATCGAACTGCGTGTATTTGAATGAAACTATGGCTTTTAATCTTTTATGAAAAAAATGTCTCTGATGAAAACTGGCATTCACACGCGAAGGTTTTATGTAACACGCTTATGTATAGTGTATAGGACTTGATGCTTGTTTTGAGAATATTTGGACAGTAAAGTGAAACTTAAACACATGAAAGAATGGTTCTGTCACAACGTAGCAGAGCTAGGTATTTCAGTCGATCATTGTCAGTATTTAAACTTTTGACAGCGTTTTTCAACAGTTTATGCCAAAGTTTTAATATAGGGTGCTGAATGGGGACTGAATACTATTAAGGACACAGAAGTTGTACATCTAGCAGCTGTATTCTACCTCATCAAGGGGCACACATACTGAATCGTATATCCGGGAGGGGTGGATGCTAACATGAAAGTGGTAGCAATATTTAATTAATGTGGTCGTTCAGATCCATGTTTTGTGTGTACAATTTCGTGATAATAGCGAGCTGACACGAAATATCAACTCACATGTCGGTGTTGAAAATGGGATGTGCTTCATTGTTTACATTTCGCCCTTGTAACGACGACTTGCGAGTCTCTAAACTGCTTAAATAACGTTTTGTGCTCTCAAAGTAACCATGGGCGTTCTTCAGGTGACGTTTACATAGTATCGATGCAAAATGCTATATAAAGAAAATTCTAACCACCAGTTCTCGGATTTTTCTGTAGTAAATATAGGGCGTGTCGCCCAGTAGTGAAGGCCGCCATTGTGCAGACCTTACCGGGGTCAGTGTCAAAGCGTAGCGTAGCAGATCACGATAACCAGACTGAATACTATTCGTTCGTACCTCACTAGATATCCCTGTCGGGTCATCTGACCGTCATTCCGGGACTCCCGCTTTCCCGGCAATAGGCTTGTGTACATTGATATATTATGTCTATTCTACACATGCACTAAGTTCTTACTTCCGCGTTGCTAGCTCTGTTACACCATACAATATTTATCTTTCATTTGCAACCTGTATATTCAGCACACGTATATCTATGTAAAACAGTGAATTCACATATATCTGTGACATCATAATCACTACGATATTTTACTGTGTATTGTATTCCGCCCAGCAGGTGGACGGCCTTCACCTTTCAGGTGACCTGTTCAACGCGCTATCTAAACTATGGCGGAAGGTAGGTACTTGTGTGAGTGAATATGAAACATTGCATGTGTATATGTTGTATGTATTTCAGACATTAATGTTTGGAGACGTCTATTACCTACATGATACAGAATTTAGAACTTAGGCATGTATATCAATACAGATTTATGTAGGACGAAATAGAGTTCAAGATTATAGTCTATACATAGCGGCGTGTAGTATGTAGGACGCTGGGGGAGGGTGGTTGTGCATGGTGTATGGAAGAGTGGTAGTGCATGGCAAGGGGTAGCCTCGCTCCAAGGCTGTACTGAATGCTAAGCCCATGGATGTAAACTATTAGTAATTCTGAGAGGCAAGTCTAGATAAGCTGACAGTACCCCCGACTCTTATTCATTACTTTTTAGAAATTATCATTTAAACTATTAATTTATACCTTAGAGACTTGTGCAAGTGTAGGCATTGGGGTTCTATGGGTAGGGGATTGTATAAATTTGGTATTAAATAATTTTGTTCTTGCTATGACCTCAGTGATTTCCACAAGATCCTGAGCTTTGTTACCCGTCCAGTTTGGTACCTTTTTGTAAATATTTACCCACTTTAGATGATACATGTACATTCTCCGTTTGTTCACAACTCTGTTACGCTAACAGGCCATATGTTGACTATAGGTATGTGGCTGTCCCTCGTCAAATGTGGTCCCCGCACAAGGTCGTTTGAGGTCAGGATGTCATGTATGTTTATGAACAATGAACTTATTGTTAGTATGTATTAGCGATTTAAAGATTACTTCAGTTGATTAAATATGTGTAAGACCATCCACATTTTTATGTTTCTCATCTGCAAACTGGTGCTGACGAGGGGCGGGAGGGTGAAAAAAAAGTAAAACCAAAAAAACCCAGGTTTGCCATCTTCTTTCAAGCTGGGGACAGAAAATGACACTCCTACAGTACCCAGACCATAAAAAGAGGCTTTTCTTATTGTGAGAATCCTCTTTTCTCAATATTAGACCGCTCATATATCATTAAACATAAGGAAACTATATGGAATAATTATGCTATGCTAAAACCTTTAATAGAGCCTCTTTAAATGTCACATTGGATCAGAATACAACAAAGTCAGTTCTTCAAAACTGGCACTTTCTTTATTTTTGGAGAGCTTTATCACTTTTTGTAGTTTTTTTGGCCACCGGTCAAAGGCGGTCGTCCACTGGTAGCTCACTGGTTGCAGGTCCACAGTTTGTTTAATTTCCAAGCGCAATACGAATTGACACGATAGAAGATAACGGGAAAACGCCATGAAAAATCGGTATATTGTCACAGCATTTCCTACGACAGAACACGAGACAGTGTAAGTCTCGGGTGTCATAGCATCTATGAAATAATGTAAACTCACGTTATATATCAGCCCTTATGTTACTTCCGACGGCAATTTTTCAACTATTGCCGCATTCAAATTTAACAAATAGTTCTCATACTACCACCGACCTCAAGGTTAAAAGAATCAGAGATACACCTCCAACCAACGGACCTGTATCCCCTGGAAGACCTTTATCGCAAATGTATGATTATGACACATCCCTGACAATTGAAGAAATTCTGTGTAGAATGCAACCTTTAATTATATCTATGAATAGTAAGTTTTGATCAGCAGTTCTTCACCCATTTCATTTTGTTTTTAAATTGATATTGTTTCTGACGCATACTTAATGTACCACACACCTATTATCCAATTAGTCGGTTGCAGCATAAATACCAGTCATCATAGTTTGAAATAAAAGATTTAGCCCTTATAAAATGTGCCCATCAGTCAGTGCTGTGAGTCATTATATATGTTAATTCATTGATCCATTTCTTACAAAAGTTTAACACCATTCAACCTTTAAACATAAGTACTCATTTACAGAGATTTGTCTCAACACACAACGGATCATTCTGACAACCCAAGAGGACGTGTATGATAGAATTATATGTTTATAGAATCACATATGTATCTTCTTGTTTTAGTAACATTAAGTTGATAAAATATGTCACGTGACAGACCATATACTATCTAGCTATAGCTGTATATTCTGATTTTCATTCAACAGTTCTGAAGAAAACTTTAGTGTTATGTGTTTATATCAACAGCACTTAGAATACTGCGAGACAGTTATGTCTTTTTGGTTCATTTCCGAAATGTATTGTAGAAAAAGAGATTAATTTCGTGTTGGCCTGACCATGTTGTGATGTTTTGTTTTCCGGAGGGTCATAGTGAGTGAGTTCAGAGTCACATCGGCAGTATTTCAGCCCTATCGTGACGAGAAAAAATTACATACACAATGAATGGATGTAGTTAATATACACTCCTGTCTTCAATGGACTGTAAATTAACTGGACTGTCACAGATGTCGTTTAAAAAGTGTATGTAACCTTTACTTACAAACACATCTCTATACTTAACAACACAATGTAACTAGGGGATACAGATCGCTAGCAACTAAAGGTAGATCACTTACTGGGGACCATGGGGACTTAGTGAGTGAGTGAGTTATCGGCTATATTTCAGCCATATCGTGACGAGACCAAATTTGACATTGATAAGGAATATATGTATATTAGAAAACCCGTCGTTAAAGGACATAATAAAATTAGAACATAACATTAGCATTACAACTAGCATGTAACGTTAAAATAACAGCATATTCGGACGATACAAAATATGAAAACAGGCTATAGATCGCCAGCAACTGAAGGTAGATCACCATACCAGGGACCATGGGGACTTACAATACCTTTGCTACCGTATAAACACAAGCAGGATTTAAATAATCCTTCTAGATTAGTTTTGGCGATTATCAGCAAATTTAGCCTAAATCAATCTAACAAATAATAAACATACCTTGAATGAGGACAACTATTTTACACTACTTCAACCCCAAGGGTACAGCCAGAGGTACAAGGGTACAACACACTTCATACAAACTGTTTCATAAATATCGTTTCGAAAAATCAGTATGACCCACACGCTCGATTAATACTAATGTGTTAATACTATTGGTTTTAAAGAAATAAACTGACGAATTGCGGGAAACATAAAAGAAGAACTTAGGCATACACGTAAGATCTATATCCCATGGTATTTAGTGAGAACTGTGAGGTCAAAATCCTTACATTTAACTCATCAGTATTGGTCAGTAAACATATTGATGTTTTCCATAGGAAAGGGTCGGTACCAGTCCCCAGCTGTGGCGTGTCCGTCCCTGGCCGAGCTGACCAGGCTGTCCGAGGAGATGAGGCTACAATGCACCGATGACGATCTTCAGGCGGTAGGAGGTAGGTGTGGTCCGTAACAGGGTAGGTACGATCAAAATTATACCTTTTGTGTAGTCAGTTTCATAGCAGAGGTGTGGTCAACACACGATCTGTGTAGGTGTGTTTCCTCTGCCTTGTGAAGGAAAGACAACAAATATGAGGCCTGGAATTGATGATGAGGGGATTTAATCATGATAATAAACCTATGAATAAAGTGGGGTTGTGCCGGTTTAGAGGGCTTCCACTGTGGTCGACACAGCATTGATACAGAAATGTGTTGTGAGTACCGTTATGCCCTGTATGGTCGATTCAGGATTGATACAGGGAGGTGTTATTAGTACCGTAATACCAGACAAGGTCGACACACCATTAATACAGGGATGTGTTACCAGTACCGTAATATTTGGCATGGTCGACACAGCATTGAAACAAGGAGGCGTTATCATTACAATAATAACCAGCATAGACGACACATTATTGATACAGGAAGGCGTTATCAGTACCGTATTACCGATATGGTCGACACATCATTGATACAGGGAGATGTTATCAGTACCGTAATACCGATATGGTCGACGCAGCATTGATACAGGAAGGTGTTATGAGTACCGTAATACCGATATGGTCGACACATCATTTAAACAAGGAGGCGTTATCATTACCGTAATAACCAGCATGGTCGACACATCATTGATACAATGAGGTGTTATCAGTACCGTAATACCGATATGGTCGACACATCATTGATACAAGGGGGCGTTATCATTACCGTAATACCGATATGGTCGACACATCATTGATACAAGGAGGCGTTATCATTAACGTAATACCGATATGGTCGACACATCATTGATACAAGGGGGCGTTATCATTAACGTAATACCGATATGGTCGACACATCATTGATACAAGGGGGCGTTATCATTACCGTAATATGATATGGTCGACACATCATTGATACAAGGGGGCGTTATCATTAACGTAATACCGATATGGTCGACACATCATTGATACAAGGGGGCGTTATCATTAACGTAATATTATATGTTAGGATGCACATAATGATACAACATGCCCTTTCGTGTCTGTTGTTCGCGAAGAGATAATGCTCAACAGACAAAAAACACCCCAAGGAAATATATTGTCCTTGATGGCAAACGTTTTACCTGTCAATTTCCCCGTGTCGGCGCACGAAATTGAAGTCAAAATATGACGCATCGAAAATCATTACATGCCTTTGATGCGTCAACTCCAAGATTCCAAGAGCGTGAACTCATGGTGAAACATGTGCAGAATAATTCAAATTTTGATGCATCGGGCACCAAAATTATATCTGATGCATGTCCATTTAAAGTGACTTGTACAACGTGTTCCGTTGATTGTTCGAATTCATTTGAACCTTTGACCTCTCTGCCAACGTGTTTGTTACGTGTACCAGACCTTTGGGCAAGATAGGCTAAGGTGAACATTTAACATTCCTTCATAACGTGTACCAGACCTTGGGGCAAGATGGGCGAAGGTGAACATTTAACTTTCCTTTATAACGTGTACCAGACCTTGGGGCAAGATGGGCCAAGGTGAACATTTAACTTTCCTTTATAACGTGTACCAAACCTTGGGGCAAGATGGGCCAAGGTGAACATTTAACTTTCCTTTATAACGAGTACGTGACTTTGGGGCAAGATGGGCCAAGGTGAACATTTAACTTTCCTTTATAACGTGTACCAGACCTTGGGGCAAGATGGGCCAAGGTGAACATTTAACTTTCCTTTATAACGAGTACCAAACCTTGGGGCAAGATGGGCCAAGGTGAACATTTAACTTTCCTTTATAACGAGTACGTGACTTTGGGGCAAGATGGGCCAAGGTGAACATTTAACTTTCCTTTATAACGTGTACCAAACCTTGGGGCAAGATGGGCCAAGGTGAACATTTAACTTACCTTTATAAGGTGTACCAGACCTTGGGGCAAGATGGGCCAAGGTGAACATTTAACTTTCCTTTATAACGTGTACCAGACCTTGGGGCAAGATGGGCCAAGGTGAACATGTAACTTTCCTTTATAACGTGTACCAGACCTTGGGGCAAGATGGGCCAAGGTGAACATTTAACTTTCCTTTGTAGCGTGTACATGTTTGTGCCATCCCTATGATTACGTATTAGTCTGGTCGCTTCTAATTGTATAACATTAATTTATCGCAAAACCGATATCAAATTCTAAATTGGTTGGTTTCTAGATTATCTGATTGGCTAAAAAGTAGGTCATTGTCTGAATTGATTAATGAGACTCATGTTTCGGTTTGAACGTCATTACATTATGTTTACAGAGGAGATGAAGTACTTTGCCAGTGAACTCCAGCGAGTCGCACAGCTTGCGCAGCCATCACTTCCGGTCAGTTATCCTCGAACCCCAGGATACAGACCCGTGCAAGAGAACAATCCATATAATGCTTGGTAATATACATATTTATGTTGGGATTACTTGTCTTCCACGTGTGCTGTTTTGACATGAGTACAAATGCTAACGGTGTACCTACTAATAATAAATCCCGTTTAAACTAGACAGTGTGAAAACAAAAGGTGTAAATCTGATTTTCAGGTACTGGCGTTGTGACATCAAAGGCGCCGACACGGGGAAATTGGCAGGTAAAACGTTCGCCATCAAGGACAACATAGCCGTAGCCGGGGTTCCGATGATGAACGGAAGTAAAATCCTGGAAGGATACACTCCAGAGTTTGACGCTACTGTAGTCACCAGAATCCTAGATGCCGGTAATTATCAAATCTTTCAAACATTGGAAACCTCCCATCTTCAAGCCATCAAATATATTTAATAAAAACCCATGTTGATCATTCATCCACAAGTCACAAACACAGCTCGGTAAGTCAAGGTGAGGTGAGGTGAGGTGAGGTGAGGTGAGGTGAGGTGAGGTGAGGTGAGGTGAAATGGGGTTTAACGTCGTACTTAAGAATATTTCGCTCATATGACAACGTGCTTGCGTGTGTATGTGTGGCTGTTTGTTCTAGCTCAGACTTAAGCTGGTTTTATAGTGCTAGCTCACTAAGATACCAGACACATTACACTGACTTCTACCCGACAGTCCTTGTTTTACCCATTAATGCCGAGCGCCAGGCACGGAACAACAAGTACCATATTTCAATTTATTTTGGTATGACGCGGCCGGGGATCGAACCCACGACCTTCCGCTCTCCGGGCGAACACTCTAACCACTAAACCACGGAGCCAGTTCGGTAATTCAGGGACCGATGGGAATTTGAACTCGTGGCAGTCGACACCAGATCTACTGTTTCCACTCAGTAGCAGTGTTCGATAGAATTCAATCTCGTCTGTTCTGTCTAAAAGGGACCCGTGAAGATCCGGAGTAGAATATTGGCCTTCAGTTACCCATGCGTTTTCGTAAGAGGCGACTAACAGGATCGGGTGGTCAGGCTCGCTGACTTGGTTGACTAATGTCATCGGTTCCCAATTGCGCAGATCGATGCTCATGCTGTTGATCACTGGATTGTCTAGTCAAGACTCGATTATTTACAGACCGCCGCCATATAGCTGGAATATTGCTGAGTGCGGCGTAAAACTAAACTCACTCACTGTCTAAAAGGATTCTATTTCCACCAGGTGGCAGAATCGTGGGAAAAGCTAACTGTGAACACCTGTGTTTGAGTGGTTGGAGTTTCACCTGTGATGCTGGACCTGTGAGGAACCCACTTGACGAGACAAGGACCACAGGGGGGTCCAGCTCTGGCAGCGGGGCTCTGGTACGTGTCGTGTGAGACGGTGAATGCATTTTACCTTGGCACCGGATGGTTTCGATAGTGTTTCAAAATGTTCACCGGTTGACATGTGGAGCAAATCTCCATATCTAGTCAGTGACACAAAGAATGCAATCCCTGTTTTGCACGATATGTTTCCATGAGTGGCTTAAGTTTTCTGTTGATTTGCTTTTGTGTGTGTTGAAGAATGGTGTAACCGACGAGGCAGGGTAGCCTCACCTTCTGGTGGACACCTCGTATCATCTCTATTTAACAGTAATTCATAGATATGTGCGCATGATGTACAGCGGTAATCGACTTTTGCCCACGAAAGTGGAAAGGATTGTGGCATTGTTTGCAGACCCGTGAATATCCGGGTTAGAATTGGTGTTCAGCAACTAATGCTTGTCGTAAGAGGCGACTAACGGCATCGGGTGGTCAGACTTGCTGACTTGGTTCACACATGTGGTCGTATCCCAATTGCTCTGACCGATGCTCATGATGTCAATCACTGGATTGACTGGTCCAGACTCGATTATTTACAGATCGTCGCAAACAACAAACAAACACCGTTTGCCTCACGTGACAAGGAGTACTGAAGACAGTATACATTAAGATATCCCTCACACGAGACAAGCACATGTTACAGGTTGCATCAGGTGAGGTCGATATGGCGCTTGGCGGAGACCAAGGAGGGTCCATCCGGATCCCAGCCAGCTGGTGTGGCATTGTGGGATTGAAGCCCACATTTGGTCTTGTCCCCTATACCGGAGCTATGTCAATGGAGACAACCTTGGATCACCTTGGACCCATGACGAAAACTGTAGCCGACTGCGCTCTGTTGCTGGAGGTAGGTAGATCAGGACGGCGGTCATTTCCAAGCTAATAGAAACAAGCAGTTCAATTTATTTCCGAATACATGTATATTTTTAATTTTCCATTTGATTAATATATCCTCATATTTAATGTAAATATATATAAAAATGTACCAAAAATTTACCAAAATGTAAAGGCTACATTTTGAAGTTTTTAGTTTTGGGTGTCTTACCATAACTCCTTACCTTCAACATCTGTCGATCTAGAGATACTATATTTTGATCAAGCAAACTGGACAAGTTTTCGAATACATGGCCGTGATAGGTCACCAAAGAATAATCTGTATCTCGTTGAAAGAAAATTCTTTTGTCTGAAACCGTTAGAAAAAGCGTTTGTTCACAAATATCTCAAGCGATGTAGAGGAGGGTTCATTCATCACAACTCTACGTTCCAGGTACTTGCGGGTTATGACTGTGGCCGAGATCCCAGACAGTATGCCAAAACTGTGGTGCCTGAGTATTCTAAACTGGTGAGTTGAGGTGAATAGATTAACCGAATGATTTGACTGACTGAACGACTGTTTTAAAGTGAATAGAAGAACCGAATGATTTGAGTGACTGAACGAATCTTTTACAGTGAATAGATTAACCGAATGATTCGAGTGACTGAACGATTGTTTTAAAAAGAATAGATTAACTGAATGATTCGAGTGACTGAACGATTATTTTAAAGTGAATAGATTAACCGAATGATTTGAGTGACTGAACGATTGTTTTAAAGTGATTAGAATAACCAACTGATATGAGTGACTGAACGATTGTTTTAAGGTGAATAGATTAACCGAATGATTTGAGTGACTGAACGATTGTTTTAAAGTGAATAGAATAACCAAATGATTTGAGTGACTGAACGATTGTTTTGAAGTGATTAGAATAACCAACTGATCTATATATTGTTTTAAAGCGAATACATTAACGGAATGATTTGAGTGACTGAACGATTGTTTTAAAGTGAAGGGATTAACGGAATGATTTGAGTGACTGGACGATTGTGTTAAAGTGAATAGATTAACCGAATGATTTGAGTGACTGAACGATTGTTTTAAAGTGAATAGATTAACGAAGTGATTTGAGTGACTGAAAGACTGTTTTAGAGTGTATAGAATAACAGAATGATTTGAGTGACTGAACGAATGTTTTAAAGTGAAAAGATCAACCGAATGATTCGAGTGACTGAACGATTGTTTCAAGGTGAATAGATTAACCGAATGATTTGACTGACTGAACGACTGTTTTAAAGTGAATAGAAGAACCGAATGATTTGAGTGACTGAACGAATCTTTTACAGTGAATAGATTAACCGAATGATTCGAGTGACTGAACGATTGTTTTAAAGTGAATAGATTAACTGAATGATTCGAGTGACTGAACGATTGTTTTAAAGTAAATAGATTAGCGGAATGATTTGAGTGACTGAACGATTGTTTTAAAGTGAAAAGATTAACCGAATGATTCGAGTGACTGAACGATTGTTCTAAGGTGAATAGATTAACCGAATGATTGAGTGACCGAACGATTGTTTTAAAGTGAATAGAATAACCAACTGATATGAGTGACTGAACGATTGTTTTAAGACGAATAGATTAACCGAATGATTTGAGTGACTGAACGATTGTTTTAAAGTGAATAGAATAAATAAATGATTTGAGTGACTGAACGATTGTTTTGAAGTGAATAGATTAACCGAATGATTTGAGTGATTGAATAATTGTTTTAAAGCGAATATGTTAACGGAATGATTTGAGTGACTGAACGATTGGGTTAAAGTGAATAGATTAACCGAATGATTTGAGTGACTGAACGAATGTTTTAAAGTGAATAGAACAACCGAATGATTTAAGTGACTGAACGATTGTTTTAAAGTGAATAGATTAACCGAATGATTTGAGTGACTGAACAAATGTTTTAAAGTGAATAGAACAACCGAATGATTTGAGTGACTAAACGAATGTTTTAAAGTGAAAAGATTAACCGAATGATTCGAGTGACTGAACGATTGTTTTAAGGTGAATAGATTAACCGAATGATTTGAGTGACCAAACCGAAGCATAAGTCTCATTAACCTATTCAGACAATGACCTACTTTTCAGCCGATCCGAATTTCTCGTGTGAAAGTGAAAATAGACATCACAAACAACTATGGTTACACTGAATTCCAATTCCTTGTTTCATAAGAAAATGGTATTTACTAATGAATTTTAATTTTAAACTTTAATAACATCGTATGTCCTTATTTTATGGCGAGGTGTAGGCAGAATGGCCTTAACTAAGACTTCACAGACTGTCCCAGTTTGATGAGGTAGTAAAATGATTCACAATGCATCTGGCTCTATGGCAACACCTGTTATGTGTTTTTTATTCTTATTCAGTGTAGTTCTTTCACGCACAATGTGATTGATATAATATCAAGTCCGTATCAGACCGCCAACCGTTTCTAGCGGCAGAGCCTCGTTTTGAGATTTCCACGATTTCCAGGTTTCTGTTTGTCAGTGCTCGCTGTACGACAGAGCACGCTGCACGACATGTTTGGATGGATTAGAAGGAGCGTAGTGTTGCAAAATACAAGTGCTTAGATGTATCAAATAATACTGATTAATATTTCTGTATCCAGTTAAATGAATTGGTCTCAAAATTCTGGACTGGTTATTGTACTAAGTTGCGCAATAGGACGGAACCCAGTCAACAGGAAACGAGACTGTTGTGTAATCAATGTTTTGACTTGGAACGAATGTTTTGAAGGTCACATCGAGAAGGGTTCTTGATGGTTAAAGCTTTCGTCCGGGTTCGATTCCCCACATGGGTACAATGTGTGATACCCGTTTTGGGTGTCCCCCGCCGTGATATTATTGGAATATTGCCACAAGCGGCGTAAAACCTTACTCACTACGATTTCTAGTCTTAAGACAAAACAAATAACTGACGCAGAAATTATGAGAAGCACTAAAACCATTTACATGATAATAAATATCATGAACATATTATTTATGACTATCACTGTCAAACAATGATGATTCCAAACGTTCGCGAAAAGGTATCCTGCACCATTGATTGAACCAGACCCTAACTCATGTTAAGTTATGTCCAAGCCCGAAAAGCATTTCGAATTTGCAGCCTTACATACTTTTATAATAATCCTTCTTATCCATTTGTGTTTTTCAGATTGATGCTGGCATCTCCGGCAAGAAGATCGGTGTGTTGAAGGAAGGCTTTGATGTGTGTACGGAGCCAGACGTGGTGGAGATAGTGAGGAGAGAAGTGGATAGACTGAAGGAAGCAGGGGCGGAGGTTGAGGAAGTATCACTGCCCATACATCTGGATGGTATAATAACGTTTTCAGTGTTTTGGATTCGTTGAAAACATAAATCACAAACGTCGATAGGAAACTGATAATTTCCGACCATAATGGGCTGAGGGGTGCAGGTAACATTCGCTGGAGGACGATGTAACGACGATGTAACGACGATGTAACGACATCGCTCCGCTTAGTCATGAGGTTGTTCTTCTTTCTCAGGGGCGGGGCGGTTGCCTCGTGATTCAAGCGTTCGCTCGCCACGCTGAAGACCCGGGGTTCGATTCCCCACATGGGTGCAATGTGTGAAGCCCATTTCTGGTGTATTGCTGGAATATTGCTTGGAGCGGCTTAAAACCATACTCACTCACTCACTTACTCATTTTCTCAACACAATGCACATTAACTCGATGCAGCGGTCGATGAGGGAGCCTTCCCTCGAAACACGGAGCCTGAGACTAGCACTAATCTCTGTACTGTCGAGCATTCCAGAACTTATCTCCGTACCGTCCAGCAGTATAGAACCCATCTCCGCACCGTGGAGCTGTACAGAACTCATCTCCGTACCGTGGAGCAGTATAGAACCCATCTCCGTACCGTCCAGCAGTAAAGAACCCATCTCTGTACCGTGGAGCTGTACAAACTCATCTCCGTACCGTGGAGCAGTACAAACTCATCTCCGTACCGTCCAGCAGTATAGAACCCATCTCCGTACCGTCCAGCAGTATAGAACCCATCTCCGTACCGTCCATCAGTATAGAACCCATCTCCGTACCGTCAAGCTGTACAAACTTACCTCCGTACTGTCCAGCAGTATAGAACCCATCTCCGTACCGTCCAGCAGTATAGAACTCATCTCCTTACCGTCGTCCAGTATAGACCTAATCTCCGTACCGTCCAGCAGTATAGACCTAATCTCCGTACCGTTGAGCAGTATACAACCATCAGGAAAATGAACGCTGACATTGACATCACGTCCAAAACCCTTGGCTCGTTTACGAAAATATTGAATATGTGCTCTGTAGTCATTGTGCATTTTGGCATTTTTATGTACAGACCTGATCGTCCACGAGTAAATTGACTGATCTACCTTGCCACGTTTAAGATGAATATGGTTGAAACATGCAAGGGTCATGTAGCACGTGACGACCATCCTTGGTGCTGCTTGACACGATACTTTGCTAGTGAGTGAGTGAGTGAGTCGCACTCAGCAATGTTCCAGCTATATGGCGACTGTCTGTCCATTATCGAGTCTGAACCAGACAACCCTGTGATCAACATCATGAGCACCGTTCTACGCTATTGGGTTACAATGCAACATGTGTTTTCTTAGTGAATCTGAAGATCGATATGCTGCATTATATTGTTGTGTTGCTATAAATATTAAATATATGAAGAAATTTAAAACTATTACGTTACTTTGTGTGTTTTTGTTTTGATGGGGAGGGGGAGTTGTTCGGGAGCCAATTTACCCAGGGGGCAGTTGTCCGGGGGCCATAATGGACGGGGGCAGATAGCCAGGGGGTAGTGGTCCGGGGGGCAGTTAGCCTAGACCCGTGTCAACCAAGTCAGCGAGCCTGACCACCCGATCCCGCTCGTCGCCTCTAACGACAAGCATGGGTTACTGAACACCATTGCTTCACGGGTGACCTGTTAAGTCCTTTATGCTTATGTATTGCTATTGATTCTTCCGACAGGCCCAACAATCTGGAGTCCAGTATTAATGCAGGGAGTTTACAACTGTTTGATCCAGGGTAATGGTAAGAAAGTATGTACGGATCCTCTGATTATTAATGTTTTCATTCTTGAATCTAGTGCAGCTATTCTTTCCCAAAGAGATCCTTCACACATCATAACAGGAAACTCGTAACATATGAGTTGCTGAACGTTATGTTGAGGTTGTAAGTGAAAAGTATATATGAGTTATATATTAGAAATCTGACTTCTAATATTGGCTGCGGGGTAGCCTAGTGGTTTAAGTGTTCACTTGTCACGCCAAAGGTTCGATTCCCCACCTGGGTAATTTGGTGAAGCCAATTTCCGCTGTTGCTTGACTTCTGTTATGAGCAGCGTCACGCTATACAAAACAAAACACATGGGTTCCAGTATCATGTTCTTTCCATGTAAACTTTATCCTTTTCATTTGATTTTTCTTCTGCTGTGACACTGACACCTCGCAAACATCACTCCATGAACATATTTTACATGATAATATACACGTGTCCGTAGAGTCTTAGTAACATGTTATTAATCATTAAAACTCTTTGATAAGGTATTTTATAAAGGGAATAAGCGACAGCACAAACGAAAAACCGCGTCAAGAGTAGATTCAAAAATATGATTAATAAAACTGTGCGTATTCAGATGAATTATATATGTGAAAATGGCTGTGTATATTTAATCTTCAGGCACTGGACAGTTCTGGAAGGGCTTCTACCCCTTGTCAATGCAAGAAGCGATTTGTCGGGGCCTGTATACCCGGCCACACGATATCGCCCGACATGTGAAGAGGTTCTGTCTCAAGGCCGAGTACCTGAATAGACAGTACCAGAACAAGTTCTATGCCATAGGACAGAACATGACCCTGGTCCTCACCAAGGCATATGACCAGGTCCTGGAACAATACGACGTTCTTGTTATGCCGACTTTGCCTTTCAAGGCTTCCAAGTTGCCCAAGGCGGGTGAAGGTAAGATCGCCACAAATACGTTTCCTTAGCAAAAAATACAATTCTCAATAATACACGTTAATCCTGTGTGAAGAATACATTTGAAATATTGACTGATATAACAAGAACATTGGTCATTCTGCTTCTCAGCTACCCGGAACGATGTTTGATAATCATTTTTCATTTTGCCATCGATCTTATTACCCAATGATTCTGCAGCAATGCGTAATGATATGATAGTTACCGACAGGTACCCTGTGTCTGTCACATTTCAAACTGATGACTACATATAAAGATGAACTGCAGTGCCGTGTCTATTTTTGTATCATGCTAGAGCCGGAAAGTTCGATGGTTCCCAACACAGCTCCCTTCAATAGCACCGGACATCCAGCTCTCTCCATCAACGCTGGATTCAGCGAAGGACTTCCGGTGGGCATGCAGATCGTTGGACGCCATTTCGACGAGACAACGGTCCTCCAAGTGGCAAGATCATACGAGAAAATAAGGGATATTAATAAATAAAACATATTCATGCATGTTTAATAATGATGACATGATGACATGCATGGTGTATCACTGAACACGTTTCGTACAAATATACTTTTGAAAGTGCCACTCTGTCCTGAATGGTATTTGTTTTCACAAGTCTTGAGACCTTCAAATGACAAGTATAGGCGGAGATTATTTGATAACCTTTTGTTGTGTATAATTCATTTGCACCGAGGACTGCACAAGAAATGTTTGTGTAATACAATTTTTTGTGCGGCTGATTCTACACCCAAGAACATATGCAAACATGGTTGTTAAACTACAATAAAATCTTACTGCTTTAGTTTTGCTTGTCAATGAAAATAATGAATACGCTGTGTCCCCTCAGTGCTGACCATTCCCTGTGCTGAACTATCCCCTGTACTGAATGTTACTCACTGTGCTGAACTATCTATGGAATCCGAGAAGGGACATTGTTACTGTGTCGCATTGTCGCCCTCTCAAAAACAAGTAAAGTGAGGCAAAATAAACCAAAACGCGACACGCGACATTTCGCCCCGTTTGTCGCATTGTCGCGATGTCGCGTGTCGCGTTTTAGTTAATTTTGCTTGTATTTGAGAGGGCTACAACGCGACAATGCGACAATGCGACAACGCGACAATGTCCCTTCCAGGATTCCATAACTAGCCCTTTGCGTTAAACACCAATACCCTCTCTATTGAACAGCCTCGACTGTGCTGAACATGACACTCTGTGTTGAATATCCCCTGTGTTTGGCAGTCGCCTATATGCAACATTATCATCTGTACTGATCTCTCCCCTCAGTCTTAAACATAATCCTGTTCGTTGAACAGTCCCCTTTGCCGATTATTTCCCTCAATGTTGAGCATTCCCCTCCTTGTTGAACATAAGCAGAGCTGTCGCCTACATTGAACATTATGTTCTGTAATGATTTAGCCCCCATGTGTTGAAGGGGATCATAAGCAGTATATAAGTTGTATGACACGAAGATGCCACCATCCTCCCGTACCATCAGGGAAGATATCAATGATACCATTAATGTATCTAGAACAACTCTTATCACTGCTCTCCATGAAATGGGGTTGAGGTAAAGCAAGGGGAGATGACCGTCGAGTGTTTCGTGCAAAGTATTCAATCCTCACCCTCAGGTCAAGCTATCTCGGCGCATCACCGAATACCGGAAGTTGGGTTTTCAGATACCTCGATGAGATCTGGGTGAACAAGAATCACCGCCAGATGGTACATGCAGCAAGGCCCAAACCATTCCATGGTAAAGGTAAACGTCTCATCGTTCTTCAAGGTGGTACAGGGGGTTTTGATTATCAACAGGAGATGAAGGGCGATGTGTTCCTTGAGTGGATGGAACATCAGCTCCTTTCCGATTGAGTTGATCTGGGCTAACTGTAGGTTCTTTGTAGCCAGTCACAACACGTCCTTTCGGATGTCCGATGTCAAAGATCTTGTCCATGCATCTTTTGTCAGAATTACAATCATTATACATCTTCTGTCAGAATTACAGTGATTACACTGACAGGAATAGCTTGTAAGGTGATCTGATCGGATAACCAGGGTAAACTGATCGGATCGGATAACCAGGGTAAACTGATCGGATCGGATAACCAGGGTAAACTGATCTGATCGGATAACCAGGGTAAACTGATCGGATCGGATAACCAGGGTAAACTGATCAGATCGGTTACCAGGGTAAACTGATCTGATCGGATAACCAGGGTAAACTGATCAGATCGGATAACCAGGGTAAACTGATCAGATCGGATAACCAGGGTAAACTGATCTGATCGGATAACCAGGGTAAACTGATCGGATCGGATAACCAGGGTAAACTGATCTGATCGGATAACCAGGGTAAACTTATCGGATCGGATAACCAGGGTAAACTGATCTGATCGGATAACCAGGGTAAACTGATCTGATCGGATAACCAGGGTAAACTTATCGGATCGGATAACCAGGGTAAACTTATCTGATCGGATAACCAGGGTAAACTTATCGGATTGGATAACCAGGGTAAACAGAGATGATTTAACATTCTATACAAATCATGACCTAGTTTGGGCATGATAATATCTTTTAGGTATTTGATAGTGATTCACAAACGCATGTTCATGTCGAAAGAGTGTACAGAGGGTCTTGGTGAAGAGCGATATATTTATCAGTATCTCAGTTATGAATTGCTCATGAAATTTGCATTGTACCCATATGACTTCTGGGTACGATCATTTACAATCTAAATAACCTGGTGCGATTTTATGGTATGTACGAAACAGATTACTGTACTTGTATCTGTCAGATACCATTTATCTTAGCTTTCACTAGCTAGATACGTTTTGAAACAACTCGTTGGAAGAGAAATGGTATCTGACAGACACGAGTTCAGTAATCTGTTTCTTACACACTATTTAAACTCGCACCAGGTTAGGGTCGAATAGATTTCGATTTCATATTTTCTCATCGTAGTGGCACAATAATACACAGTTAATTCCAGTTATATGGCGGTGGTCTTGAAATAACTGAGTCTGGACCAGACAATCCTGTGATCAACAGCATGACAATCGATTTACGCAATTGGGATACGATGACATGTGCCGACCAAGTCAGCGAGTCTGACCACCTGATCCCGTTAGTCGCCTCTTGCGACAAGCATGTGTTCCTCACCTAACCTCACCTATGTAAGTGTCTTGCTGACCGTTGGGCACCACTGTAGATTTACAACCATAGTCCTACACTCCTCTTACGACATGGGTTGCTGATGACCAATTCTAACCTGGATCTTCACGGGTCGATGGTCGAAGGAAGCGCAAAAAGGCGTTCTTCAGTAGGTACAAGCCGCAGTTTTTATCACAGAGCCGTTCAAACTCTCACTTCTAGCGTATTACTAACAACTGTATTATTACCCCACCCCCACCCCACCCGGCATGTAATGCGGGGGGATATAGTCGACGCCTCGTCCGTCCGTCCGTCCGTCCGTCCGTCCGTAATGATTTTGTTTCCAGAGCATAACTAAAAAACCGTTCAAGTTTTTTTTAACAAAAATTGGTAGATATATCAAACAGAACCTAAGGTGGTGCCTTTTGCTATTTACAGATTTTTGTCATTTTTATTTTTCTCGGTTTCCATGGAAACGTTTTGGACTTAGTCTTAAAGAGGGGTGGGCTTCGTTTCCGGAGCATAACTCAAAAACCGTTAACTATTTTTCAACAAAACGTGGTAGATATATCAAACAGATCCTTTAGTGGTGCTTCTTGCTATTTGCAGATTTTTGGCATTTTTATTTTTCCCGGTTTCCATGGAAACGATTCAGAGTCCCAAAAGGGGAGAGTGGGTTTCGTTTCCGGAGCACAACTCGAAAACTTCTTAATATCTTTCAGTAAAACTTGGCAGATGTGTAAGGCAGATCCCAAAGAGGTGCCTTTTGCTATTTGCAGATTTTTGTAATTTATTATTTTCTCAGTTTCCATGGAAACGATTCGGACTTAGTCTCAAAAGGGCGGAGTAGGTTTCGTTTCCGGAGCACAACTGGAAAAGTTCTTAATATCTTTCAGCAATAGTTGGCAGATATGCGAGGCAGATGCCAAAGTGGTGCCTTTTCCTATTTGGCAGATTTTTGGCATATTTATTTTTCCCGGTTTCCATAAAAACGATTAGGACTTAGTCCCAAAAGGGAGGGATGGGCTTCATTTCTGGTGCACAAATCGAAAAGCGTTCAATATCTTTCAACAGAACTTGGCAGATATATTAGGCAAATTTTGAAATGGGGCCTTTTGCTATTTACATATTTTTGGCATTTATATTTCTCATGATTTCCATGGAAACGATTTGGACTTAGTTTAAAAAAAAGTCAAGCTGGGTTTAAGTAACTGTCAGAAACTTTGTCCTTTCAAATATGGGGGGCCGGGGGATATGTCATCTTCTGATGACTCTTGTTAGCAGTGGGATATGACAGGCCTCAACTTTAACACATAAGTGTTCTTATTAGTGCTGGGAGATAGGGGCGGTCGCTCTACTTGACACCCCGTTGTATTACCCTGTGTTTCTATCTTTTGACCTCAGGTAGTCTTATGATCTGAACTTTTCCTTATTATCTCGTGCTGCTTTCTCATTCTAATCTTGATTCCGATGACATCTTGCAGCGTATCAAATTTTCAAACCCACTGCTAAAATTCAGTTTGTGAATATCGACATAATACGTATCACCTTAACATCAGTTGCCCATTTCATATCACCTCAGTCAGTTGATGTCATAATGACAATCCATCTTGCATCTTGTCAAATTATTTCACGCTCAAATCAATTTAATACGGATGAAATGTTCCACAATGCTGAGCAAAAGCGTATTTCAGATTAAGCAAAAACTACCATTTTCATCATTCCCAAAAGGACAAAGATCCAAGCTATTAGGTTTCATTGGTCAACTCTCAAAATATTTGGCACTGCAACACCTAACGATGTCAACATATGCCAAACATATGCTAAATGTCCATATGCAAGTACAAAATCAAACAAACTATTTGTAACTGTCAAATTTCCATTGGCACCATCGATTCTGATGTTTTCTTCAAACTGTACAACATCATTCCAGTGCCAGTTTATGTAACGTCAACTAGCCATTCATGACACCTACTTAATATACCACCTTTTCTTGCAACATCTCTTTAACAGCAATACTTGGCCACTCTCAATATTATGGCGCTTCTACCTTACAATGTTCCTTTAGACTAATTCTAGCAACCAGAAATGGCATTATACCGTAATAGTAAAGTAAATCAAAGAACAGTGGAATTTTAGGTTCTTCAGTCACAACCAGCTGAATTAATATCTTCCAAATTACTCGTCTATATAACTCCCCATTACTAACCCTGTCTTGCCCTGATGGTCAAAGAACCATCACAGGTTGTTCCGTTTGCATAATAGTACAAAAGCACGGTAGTTATACCTCAACGGGGTTGGTTGGGTAGCCTAGTGGTTAAAGCGTTCGCTCGTCACGCCGAAGATCCGGGTTCGAATTCCCACATGGGTACAATGTCTGAAGCCCATTTCTGGTGTCCCCCCGCCGTTATATTGCTGGAATATTGCTAAAAGCGGCGTAAAACTAAACTCAATCACCCTGTCTCAATGCAAAATCTTGTTTTTCCTCCTGATGTGGGAACTTGTCAAAACCTTACCCACCAGGGTATCACCTACCTTCGTCCTGTAAACTAAGCTTTAACGAAGGCAATCATTTCTGGACTTTCATAGGGGCCATTCACGATTGAGACCAGATGACTTTCACCTTAACATTCGATTGTTTCATGTGTGCCTTGATGAAACTGACTTGTGCCAAATTTGAACAATTCCATTATCATATGTTGATCATTTATACAATGCATAACGTATTCCACGTTTGCGTTTCTTTTTTTGCAGAGTATATATCAAGCTATGTCAGTGATACAGTCTTCATTAAAATAATACCGTCTCGATCTTCACTTCTCGATGTGTGACTTTGACCTATATACCTCTTACTGAATAAACAAATACTACCACGCATTGTATTCCGTTCAACAGGATCATAGTCCTTCAGTTCACATATCAACACGCTGTCTATACTATGGCGGAAGGTAGGTACTTCAAGACACTGTGTATGTTATAATGCATTTTAAATATTTCTGTTCAGGCAAGTGCATCACTGGATTGTCTGGTTTGTTTACAGTCTGCGTCGCATGACGGGATACTGCTGTGCGGCGTCAGGCAAAACATGTTTTTTTTCGAGATTTTATAATGACAGGTGCTACCGGTGGTGCAGGACAGGATTACCATATTCGTAAACACCTGGTGTCGTTGTTGATTTTCAGTGATCCATTTATATTATGTTCACAGCTATTTTACCTTTTCACAACAAACGACAATTATTTCTCAGGATAAGTAAGACTGTGTATCCACTGGTGTTCTATATCTAAGCGATGCAGTTTTTACAATAGAGGATTTGCCTATATGATTATGTTCTGTGAGACGAAATGGAGCTCAAGGTTATTGTACTTGAATCTGTACTTTGTTCTGTCTGTATCGATAAGCGATTGTATGCAAACAGGGTTATATGGACGCAGTGTGTTTTTGACAAGGTGTTGAATTCATCAGGGCTTGTTTGGATAGAAGGCTATCTTGATAAGCGGTTGTGTGGATAAGGAGTTGTGTGGACATGGAACTGCGTCAGATTTCCATAACATTCTGAGGAGTGTCTTTGACCCAGTTTGATTAGATTTTGTAAATATTTGCTCGCTTTAAGTGATCACGTACATTCTCCATTGTTCACAACCCTGCAAGAGATAACTGGTCCATATGTTGACGAGTGTATTGGTTGTGCCTCGTCAAGTGTGGTCCACGCACAACAACAGAACAACAGCTCACCCGAGGATAGGTCAGAGTGAGTGAGTTTAGTTTTACGCCGCTTTTAGCAATATTCAAGCAATATCACGGCGGGGTCACAACAAATGGGCTTCACACATTGTACCTATGTGGGGATCGAACCCGGTTCTTCGGCGTGACGAGCGATCACTTTAACCACTAGGCTAACCCACAGGGCTCCCCGAGGATAGCATGTTATGTATGTTCCCGTATAGTGCTCATAATAGTACAGGGAAATGAACTCATCTGTTAGCATGTCTCAGAGCGATTTACAGTTGGTTGGAAATTTAGAATCTGTTGGTGAATTTTGTTAACCGTCATTAAACCGACCATGCAGCCATGGCTGACACGTTTTGTGTCAGACTGTGACATGTAGGGTTTGTAAAGGCTGTAGACCGGTTTCCTCGTTCAGTTAAAGTGTTGCACCACATATTATTCTCAAAATATCAAGCAGGTTTTATGAGAGTATTTGTTTTTTGTTGTGTTCAGTTATGGGCTTCACGCTTAACAAAAGATATATGCATTTTTTCTAGCGCTTTCCAAGTGAATACCTCAAGCAGTTAATCATAGAGTTAATATGTTCATGCTATTGCGTAGATTGTAATATTATTGGTAAATGCTCATCAGTTGATGCCACCACCAGAGGTGTTCGGGACAATTGCCACCCGGACAATTGCCACCAGACAATTGCCACACGGACAATTGCCACCTAGGACAATTGCTACCCAGTTACTTTTACTATAATAGTGAGGAAGGACAATTGGCACCCAGTATCTTATGTAATTCTATCTTAAAAAATGAATGCAGGTTGTCAATAAACACAACTTTAGATGATCAAAAGTCAGTGTTTTGGGGTATATCAATATTCTGACTTTGATAAACTTTTAACATTGAAGTAATGGGTGGCAATTGTCCTGGGTGGTAAAATTGTCCTAGGTGGCAATTGTCCGGAGGCGATTGTCCGGGTGGCAATTATTGTCCTAGACCCACTTATAAAGTAACGTGCATTCAACAAACCGTCGTATTTTGATTGCATTTTATCAAAAGTTCGTACATATATTATAAGGAAAGAGCAGATGACCCAGTACCAAAGCCCTGGTATACCGCCTGCTTACTGAGATAATCTGGGTTACAATTTGTCTTCGGCAACTCGTGTTACTTGTGTGAGGTGACTGACAGAATCGTCGTGGTCTAGCTAGCTCACTAGCATGTCATCGTATCCCAGTTGGGTAGATCGTGATATCAATCACAGGATCGTCTGGTCCAGACTCCATTATATACAGCTGGTCAGCAGTTTTCATACAGCTGGACATATGCAACGTTTAACAACAGACGCAGACACAGGCTGCTTACTGTTTTACATTGGAAGTGAGTAAGTATGGTTTTACGCCGCTTTTAGCAATATCACAGTGAGGGACACCAGAAATGGGCTTCACACACTGTACCAATGTGAGGATTCGAATCCGGTCTTCGACGTGGCGAGCGAACGCTTTAACCACTTGGCTACCCCACCTGTCCCTTTACAATGGAAGACTGACCATAACTTTGTACTTCCTGTAGTCTATTGGACAATTACAGCTTGTTCAGCTTGACCTGATCAAGTGAATACTAATGCACACGTGACCGTGTCGGAACTGGTTGGGTCTATTATTGTGAAGGGGTGCATCTTTGTCAGTTGATTGTCAACATGTCCGAACAGCCGAGACAAAGTCGCCGTTTGACATCTCAGTGTCGAGAAATCGCCAGCAATGTCCTAACTTTCTTTAAACTTAAAAAAGAAGCTACAGATGGTTTAATGTTTCCGATCCGGGCTTTTAGGTAGCGAACAGCAACATTAATAACATCCTCTGCTGCCCTATTTAATGAAGTTAACTCGACCTACTGTTTGTGCCATTTGACCTCCCGGGTCATGCATGCATATGAGTAGCTCAGGTCAAGCTGAACAAGCTGTAGCTTTCGAACCATGATTTCAATGCATGTGCATTGACACTCACTGGTTTTAACTTAATCCCTTAAGCCACACCTTATCTAGAGCCTTACTTAAAGCACAGAACACTGCCCTTACATTCCTAATTATACAGTGCGTGAGTGGGCATAGCTTAGAATCTCAGGTACACAACGCGACTGTACTTTTGAGCAAATGTCATGATCAGATAACAGTAACCACATGATATTTATAGACAATGACCTGTATATCAACAGCACTAGGAATACTGTTAACTCGCCCTCACTAGCAGTATATGAATTCCTTTGTGCCCTCATATTCAGAGCACATCTTACTTTCAGGAATATTTTCATATTTTAATGTTAAATAATATTTGCCGTTTAGTAATTCTCCCTACCCCAATTACATTCGATTTTAGTCATATTTCTGTATTCCAATTCAAAGTTGAATAATATTTGCTACACATTCACCAGTGTAACATCAGCATGACCAGCGTGTCTGTATAGTATAACTATAAACCTTAACACAGGGATTTAGTCATGTACGTATACAGTATCGCACATCCCAGTGAGTGAGTCAGTTTAGTTTTACAATGTCACACATTTCTTTAAGAATACATAATGCATTTCTCTCAATGATACTAACTATCAGCCCTAAGGGAAGCTACCATATAATTTATTCAAATAATATTTACGTATTTAGATTACAATAATAAATTAAAAAGTTCAGCAGAATTACTGCAACGTTGCATTAAATCGAATCTCGCGTCCTCTACCGGGCGAACTTTATTTCAAGCAAACCCCATAGAGTTATTTCCCATGGAGCGCTCTTTACAAATATCCTTCACAGAACTTGTGATTGAAACCAGTTCGGCAAACACATACAACACCACGTGCAACAGCAATTGTTGACATTTCGTATAAGGTAAGCGTTCTCTGTTTGGAATCTGTTCGCCTCGAAGTTTCAGTTATCGATTTCAGACAAGTCGTAAGGGATATTAGGTCTTTTGTTGCATCAATAGGAAGCTAAAGTGAGTGCATATGCCTCCAGTATATAAAATATAGGCCAAAATATAGTCGAAAATGTGTGACATTGTGCTTGTAAGCATGTTTCTGCAATATCACGGCGGTGGCCACCAGAAATGGGCTTCACACAATGTACCAATGTGGGGAATGGAATCAGGTCAGTACAAAAAGCAAACACAAGGAAGCTAAAATATGATGTTTTTCACAGCAAAGGGTCCGTACCAGTCCCCAGCTGTGGCATGTCCTTCACTGGCCGAGCTGACCAGGCTGTCCGAGGAGATGAAGCTACAATGCACCGATGACGATCTTCAGGCTGTAGAAGGTAGGTGTGGTCTGTAACGGGGTAGGGGGGATGAACATTTTAGAAATACTACTGTCAGATTCATAATATGGGTGTGGTCAGCACAGAGGTTGTGCAGAGTATTTCCACAGCCTCGTTACCGACTCCTGTAAGAAGAGATAAAGTCAGTGTCATAATAAAACTAACGGGCGATGTGATACGTCAGTTAAAACCAATGATGTAATAGCCGCTGTCATCGATAAGGAATTGATACCCTCAATACCCGACATGGTCGACACATCATGATACAAGGCTGTATTATCAGTACCGTAATATCTGTCATGGTCGACACAGTGTTGATACAGGGAGGTATTGTCAGTACCGTAGTACCCGGCATGGTCGACACAGCTTTAAGTGAGTGAGTGAGTTTAGTTTTACGCCGCACTCAGCAATATTTCAGCTATATGGCGGCGGTCTGTAAATAATCGAGTCTGGACCAGACAATCCAGTGACCAAAAGCATGAGCATCGATCTGCGCAATTGGGAACCAATGACAAAGTGTCAACCAAGTCAGTGAGCCTGACCACCCGATCCCGTTAGTCGTCTCTTACGACAAGTATGGGTTTACTGAAGATCAATATTCTAACCTGGACCTATACGAGTCGACATAACTTTGATATGGGGAGGTGGTAACAGTACTGTAATACCGATAGGGACGACACAGCGTTTATACGGGGAGGTGATAACAGTACTGTAATACCGATAGGGTCGACACAACGTTGATACGGGGAGGTGGTAACAATACTGTTATACCGATAGGGACGACACAGCGTTGATACGGGGAGGTGGTAACAGTACTGTTATACCGATAGGGTCGACACAGCGTTGATACAGGGAGGTGTTAACAGTACTGTAATACCGATAGGGTCGACACAGCGTTGATACGGGGAGGTGGTAACAGTACTGTTATACCGATAGGGACGACGCAGCGTTGACACGGGGAGGTGTTAACAGTACTGTAATACCCGGTATGGTCGACACAGCGTTGATACGGGGAGGTGTTAACAGTACTGTAATACCGATAGGGTCGACACAGCGTTGATACGGGGAGGTGGTAACAGTACTGTTATACCCGGTATGGTCGACACAGCGTTGATACGGGGAGGTGTTAACAGTACTGTAATACCGATAGGGTCGACACAGCGTTTATACGGGGAGGTGTTAACAGTACTGTAATACCGATAGGGTCGACACAGCGTTGATACGGGGAGGTGGTAACAGTACTGTAATACCCGGTATGGTCGACACAGCGTTGATACGGGGAGGTGTTAACAGTACTGTAATACCGATAGGGTCAACACAGCGTTGATACGGGGAGGTGTTAACAGTACTGTTATACCGATGGGGTCGATACAGCGTTGATACGGAAAGGTGTTAACAGTACTGTAATACCTGGTATGGTCGACACAGTGTTGATACATGGAGGTATTGTCAGTACCCTAGTGCCCGGCATGGTCGACACAGCTTTGAGTGAGTGAGTGAGTTTAGTTTTACGCCGCACACAGCAATATTCCAGCTATATGGCGGCGGTCTGTAAATAATCGAGTCTGGACCAGACACTCCAGTGATCAACAGCATGAGCATCGATCTGCGCAATTGGGAACCAATGACATAGTGTCAACCAAGTCAACGAGCCTGACCACCTGATCCCGTTAGTCGCCTCTTACGACAAGTATGGGTTACTGAAGATCAATAATCTAACCTGGACCTTCACGAGTCGACACAACTTTGATATGGGGAGGTGGTAACAGTACTGTAATACCCGGTATGGTCGACACAGCGTTGATACGGGGAGGTTTTATCAGTACTGTAATACCGATAGGGTCGACACAGCGTTGATACGGGGAGGTGGTAACAGTACTGTAATACCAGTAGGGACGACACAGCGTTGATACGGGGAGGTGGTAACAATACTGTAATACCGATAGGGTCGACACAGCGTTGATACGGGGAGGTGGTAACAGTACTGTAATACCGATAGGGTCGACACAGCGTTGATACGGGGAGGTGTTAACAATACTGTAATACCGATAGGGACGACACAGCCTTGATACGGGGAGGTGGTAACAGTACTGTAATACCGATAGGGTCGACACAGCGTTGATACGGGGAGGTGTTAACAGTACTGTAACATCAGCACTGTCACCACCATCATTGGATTTGTACATGGAGGTGTTATCAGTATGGTTATAACGGTATGGTTACTACAAAAACAAAATAAAGTATCATTATACGTTATGATTACAATAGTGATACACCATGTTCAACCTTTATACATATTTCAACTTCTATAAACAGGAACTGCCAATCAACACCCATGACACTACAGGACTAATATAACTAAACATGCAAATAAGAGCGATATGATTTCATTGTAATAAGAAATCTGTGCTGAAAGCAGAGCAAATTGTTCAACAAACTGATCATGTGTGTATTTTACGAAATAATGACAATAACAGGCTCCCGTTGCAAACTCATATGCCAAGGCTTTTGCTCAACAGACAAAATGAAATATATATGCATTGGGCACCAAAATCATCTGATGGATTTCCATAAATTGACTTGTACCACATATTCCCATGTTTCTCCATTTGGACATTTGACTCCCGTCCACACGTGTTTGTAGCAGGTACCACCTTTGGGTCAGGATGGCTCACATTTTGCGATCACCCTGTGTCATTCCTTTGATAGCGGAATAGTCTGGTCGCTTCTAAATGTACAACATTCATTATGTTTCGTTTATCTAAAAACTGATATTAAGTTATAAATGATGAAGGCTCTGATTATCTGATTTCCATTTCTATTCAAGTATCTTAGGTGTTTCCTTCAAGTTTGACTCACATATGATACAAGGGAGCTCATAATTTAGACATTTCCTGCTCAGTCTAAAGCATTCGACTTTTGGGCATCTTGAAAATGGTCAATATTTAAAACACTGCATTTCATCACACATTGGCCATTTTGTTGATGATTTGAAGAAATGACGTTTTTCGCTTTCCTTTTGGCTGTGTGTTTGTAAATTCCGTTCACTCCATAATCCTTTCATGTATTTCATAGAAACACTTTGGGTACATAGAATAATTTGAGCATTCGTCTATTTTCAACATGGAATGGTTAGTCAAAGTAGCGAAAATGTGGTATTGAAGTTCAATTCAAAACATTGACTATGCAAGTCTCGTTTCCTGCTGACTGGTTACCGTTCTATTGCGCAACGTAGTACAATAACCCGTCCAGAATTTTGAGACCAACTCATCCAACTGGATATATGGATATTAATCAGTATTATTTGATACAGCTAAAAACTTGTATAATCTACAACACTACGATCCTTCTAATCCTTGCAAACACGTCATGCAGTGTGCTCTGTCGTACAGCGTGCTCTGACAAGCGGAAATCAGGAAATCGTGGAAATCTCAAAACGCGGCTCGGCCACTAGAAAGTTTTAGCGGCCTGGTACGGAATATACCAAATTGGTTGACAATTATTTTTATTGGAGAGGGGTGTGGGTGGAGTGTGTGTGTGGGAGGTTGGTGTGGGGAGGGGGGTGACAACCATTATTGGCATGAGTATATTATATCAATCACATTGTACGTTACAAAAATACAATTAAAACGCAAAGAACACATAACAGGTGTAACTAGTGAGCCAGATGAAATGTGAATCATTGTACGACCTCTTCAAACAGGGGCAGTCTGTGACGTCTTAGTTAACGACATGCTGCCTCAACCTCGACATGAAATATAGAAATACAATTTTTTTAAACTTTAAAATTAAAATCAATTTGTAAATACCATTTTCTTATGTAACAAGGATTTGGAATTTTGTGTAACCATAGTTCTTTGCAGTGTCTCTTTTCACTTTCACACGAAAATATTCGGATCGGCTGAAAAGTTGGTCATTGTCGGAATTGGTTAATGAGACTCATGTTTCCGTTTGAACGTCATTACATTATGTTTACAGAGGAGATGAAGTACTTTGCCAGTGAACTCGAGCGACTCTCACAGCTTGCGCAGCCTTCACTTCCGGTCAGTTATCCTCGAATCCCAGGATACAGACCCGTGCAAGAGAACAATCCATATAATGCTTGGTAATATACATATTTATGTTGGGATTACTTGTCTTCCACGAGTGCTGTTTTGACACGAGTACAGATGCTAACGGTTCACCCATTAACAATGTATCTAAACTAGACAGTGTGAAAACGAAAAGTGTAATTTTGATTTTCAGGTACTGGCGTTGTGACATCAAAGGCGCCGACACGGGGAAATTGGCAGGTAAAACATTCGCCATCAAGGACAACATAGCCGTGGCCGGGGTTCCGATGATGAACGGAAGTAAAATCCTGGAAGGATACACTCCCGAGTTCGACGCTACTGTAGTCACCAGAATCCTAGATGCCGGTAATTTAAAGCTGTAAAAAATTCCGGTAACCTCCGAACTTCAAGGTATCAAATAAAGTTTGAATATAATTTCATCTGTTAATATGTCCACACGCCGCAAATACAGCCCAGTCATTTCAATGATGTGAGTTGGATCTTGCGTTTGTCGAAACCTGAATTGTTTCCACTTAGTAGCATTGAAAGAAGCAATTCCGTTCCGTCTGTTCTGTCTAAAAGGATTCTATTTCCACTAGGTGGCAGAATCGTGGGAAAAGCTAACTGTGAACACCTGTGTTTGAGTGGGTCGAGTTTCACCTGTGATGCTGGACCTGTGAGGAACCCACTTGACGAGACAAGGACCACAGGGGGGTCCAGCTCTGGCAGCGGGGCTCTGGTACGTGTCGTGTGAGACGGTGAATGCACTGTCTGTTATCCTGGGTTTATTTTCAACTGGACCTATGAAGATCTGGGTTAGAATTGGTCTTCAGCAACCCATGCTTGTCGTAACAGGCGATTAACGGGACCGGCTTGTGCACTTGGTTGACACATGTCATCGTATCCCAACAGCACAGATTGATGCTCATGATGTTGATCACTGAATTGTCTGGTCCAGACTCGATTATGTATACTAACTGACAAACAAATTCGTACTGTCCATTTCATTCACGAATGTGGAATGGATTGTGTCACTGTTCACATCATTGTCGTGGTGTTCAAAACAATATTGGGGCGATGGGGTAGCCTAGTGGTTAAAGTGTCAGCTCGTCACGCCGAAGACCCGTGTTCGATTCCCCACATGGGGACCATTTCTGGTGTCCCCCACCGTGATATTGCTGGAATATTGCTAAAAGTGACTTAAAACCAAACTCACTCGCTCACTATCATGATATCCCTTGCAAGAGACAAGCACGCGTTACAGGTTGCATCAGGTGAGGTCGACATGGCGCTTGGCGGAGACCAAGGAGGGTCCATACGGATCCCAGCCAGCTGGTGTGGCATTGTGGGATTGAAGCCCACATTTGGTCTGGTCCCCTATACAGGAGCTGTGTCAAATGAGACAACCTTGGATCACCTTGGACCCATGACGAAAACTGTAGCAGACTGCGCTCTGTTGCTGGAGGTAGGTAAAGACTCCAAACGGTGGTCAGTTACTTGTGAATTACATGATCCCAATTAGGTTGTTTTCTTGCCTAACTGACCCTCATCGCACCGGCTGACCCAGTGACGCAAGATTAACTCACTTATAAGCGGTTCGTAGAGAGAGTGACCACCACAGCCTTTCCAGATAGACTTGCGTAATGACCTTAGGTTCACATCTGGAGTGACAGTGCGTTTAGCCACATATGTGAAATATAGAATATGTTGTATGTGGTGGTAGTGGTATTCCAACCTCACGAATATACGTAGTTATATGATATATATCATAAAAAATAGCTGTTATACAAAAGCAACATTCAATGCAATTTCTTTCATATATGTATTTTCATAATCACCTGCTGAATAGAAATATTCCCATATTTTATGTGTTATTACGAACACCGCACTCTCAAAGCTAAGATGAAATGTTTCAAGAGCTTCACCCTAACTCTTTACCCTCTACGACTAGCGATCTATAGATCCTATGTTCTAGGGGCGGTGGGATAGCCAAGTGGTTTAAGCGTTTGCCCGTCACGCCGAAGATCTGGGTTCGATTCCCAAATGAGTTCAATGTGCGAAGCCCATTGCCGGTGTCCCCCACATCGATATTGCCGGAATATTGCTAAGAGCGGCGTAAAACTAAAGTCACTAACTCCTTTGTTTTGACTATGGTTTATTTCCATTATGAGAGAGTGAGTGAGTGAGTTTGGTTTACGCCACTTTTAGCAATATTCCAGCAATATCACGGCGGGGGACACCAGAAATGGGCTAAACAATTTCTATTATGAAGTTCTAACAATGTCACACCATTTAATGTTAGCTTCCTGCTTCAGAATAAGGGAAACTGGACGTGTGTGTTCAGATAGATGGCCTTTCTATATGACCAATTGAAAAATCTTTACCTCATTGAAAGAAGAATCTTAGTACCATTAGTTTCCGCACTTCTTACAATAAACACACCAAAGGATGTTTTGGGATGCAGTTACAAAACCAGGAAAGTATAAAGTCGAAATATACATCCTGCCTTCTTACACTTTGGTGAATATCTAGAGGTTTTGAGATTGTTCAACAATCATTGCAATGATGAACAATAGCAGCACTAAACTCTCATTTGGAGCTAACCCGTGAAGATCCGGGCTAGAATATTGATCTTCCTTAACCCATGCTTGTCGTAAGAGGCGACTAAAGGGATCGGGTGGTCAGGTTCGCTGACTTGGTTGTCACATGTCATCAGTTCCAATTGCGCAGATCGATGCTTATCCTGTTGATCACTGGATTGTCTGGTCCAGACTCGATTATTTACAGACCACCGCCATTTAGCTGGAATATTGCTGAGTGTGGCGTAAAACTAAACTCACTCTCTTTATGGAGCTGGTTACACCCATCCAAAACTGTAAAACGTTGAATTGTACTTCCCAGGTGCTCGCCGGGTATGACCAAGGCAGGGATCCCAGACAGTATGCCAAAACTGTGGTGCCTGAGTATTCTAAACTGGTGAGTTTATCATTTTTTTCTCTTTTGGGTAGTAGATGCAGGTGTCGCGATTTTACAAGCTGCTGCAACTCTACTTGGTGGGGAGTCGTATTACATGCTAACATAATCACTTGGCACATCCATCATGTGTTGTATATCATATGTACAAAAAGCAAAAAGAGACAGACAGACAGAGAGACAGAGAGAGAGAGGGGGGGAGGAGTTAAAGGGTTAAAGAGAGGACAAAAAGAGAAAGACATGTTTACCCTGTGAAACACCCAGCCATTATCTTTACCAAATATATACTTTTCAACATTATAATGCAGCTTTATCATTTTTAGGAGATGGTTGAATGATTGTTTAAATGTGAATAGATTAACATTCGTGACCAACTCGTGTTATTCCGGGACAAGCCGAATACAAGCGACTCGTGCCCCTCTGGAAGGATTTCATATTGACGCATGAACATCAGAACTACTTTAAACAAGAACGAAAACTCTATCCCTGTTTGATTCCAGTGTTTCTAAAAATCACCGAAGCACATGTACATTGTATTGCTAGGTTGTTGTTTTTTGGGTTTACTTATTTATTTTAAAGAATTAAACCTCTTTGATACAACTAAAAGGAGAAAAACATATTAGTTAAAGACATTTTCTAATGTAATTATTACCAGCTGTTCACCATATATTTCCAATTATGTTAATTTTCTTAATGGGGTTTAATCATGACAAATGGGAATTGTTTTATTGAATATACAAAAAAAATAAAAATCAGCTACATTAAATCCCAAAGCAGATACTCAAAAATGACTTTAAAATATTTCTCAAACTGAACATTCGTGTAACCTTGCTGTCACACCCCTGGTGGAATTTCAAATGAATTCGCTGAAAAAAATATGAATGACCAAAAACAGTCAGACTAAAATATCCCCAGAGCTATGAAATATAAGCCCAATGTTAAAGATTAAGGTTGATTAGTTACATACAAATACGATATTATTGTTTTGAAACTCGTAGCGATTATAATTACATTTCCTAAAATTGGTCGAAGCGCACGTACAATCTCCATAACAAGCCCGCAAGATCGTCAGAAATACACTCAGTTGGACCCATGAGAGCAGTTATGTCAACAAACGCACGTGCGTGTATTTGAATCTCTCACCGTCAATCGCATGATTCTTATTAAAAACTTCACAAAAGGCAGCAAAATCCTTTTAGCTACGTTCTTTGTACTTTCAATATGACGATATATATTTTTCATGATTCTTTAAACAATGACATAATGCCATAAACGATTTAAGTACTCGGGATTATTTTTATCAAAGCACCGCGCTCATTTACGCGCGTTCTGATTGGTTTGTCGTATTTTCGCACATAACAAGTATCGAGTGGGGACGAGTCTTCTTGGAGGTTACGGAAAGGGCGAGAGTGGTGACGAATGATATCCCTTTTGAAGCCTTAGATATATTTTTATAATAATCTTTCTTATCCATTTGTGTTTTTCAGATTGATGCTGGCATCTCCGGCAAGAAGATCGGTGTGTTGAAGGAAGGCTTTGATGTGTGTACGGAGCCAGACGTGGTGGAGAAAGTGAGGAGAGAAGTGGATAGACTGAAGGAAGCAGGGGCGGAGGTGGAGGAAGTATCACTGCCCATACATCTGGATGGTAGAATAAATTCGGATTCGTTGAAAACATTAATGGCAAACGTCTTCAGGAGACTGTTTCCGATGACCTTATGTCTGATGGGTTTTTTTTATGTTATATGGCGGCCTATGATTAAACGAGGCTTAATGATGATAAAATTTAATAACCTAAATTATGAGCAAGTCCCCCGAATTTAGGGTTCTACGTGGACAGGGGTGCTTGGAACAAGTAAAGACAAACAAGTCAATTAAAAAATTGTGACGCAAAAAATGGTAAGAAAACTCGTCCAATTCGCAGTGAGTGAGTTACGATTTATAGTCACATCGGTAATATTTCAGCCATATCGTGACATATCGTTAAAAAGTTATGAATTCATAATAAACTTAACTGAATTCTAGAAACGAAGGACAGTAAAATAACTAGATTATCACAGATATAGAATTAAAACTAGCATGTAGCTGTAAAATTTTATGGACAATACAATATAAAAGACGGGTTGGAAACTACCAGCAACTCTTAGTAAGTCAACATACACGGGACCATTTAAACCCGAAAGGATGATTTGGCATAAAAACCCAGTGTAGGTGATGTTGGTTCAACGCAATAGCGCAATTGGGAGATTGCAAGCAGAGTCAACTCAAATAAGCTGTGGCACTTCCAGCGTGTCCAGATAGATAACCTCTGCGTCATGGGCAGCCTAGCGGGGTAGCCTGGTGGTTAAAGCGTTCGCTCGTCAAGCGGACGACCCGGGTTCGATTTCCCAGATGGCTACAATGTGTGAAGCTCATTTTTGCTGTCCCCAGCCGTGATATGGCGGGAATGTTGCTAAAGGCGGCGTAAAACCAAACTCATTCAATCACTGGCTCAATGCATCAATGACATGACAAGTTCAGATCTTTCCGGAATAACCACCGTAGCGCACAATACATCTGGTTGTGCCAAATTCAACCACTGCAGCCACAACAGCCATGACGAAAGTGACAAACATCCCGAGACAACGACAAATTTTCAAACAGGCAGTTCGTAATCGCCTAAAGGAGTCAGGCATTTTCGTCACAAGCCCCACCGGATCGATTACGTGTTGTCATGAGAAGGTAACATGGACTCAAGATGGGTGGGGGACTAATTTGTTGTCTCGTTTTTTCCTGTCACGTGCTGATGCACGCACTCGTGTCTGTAGACGTGGAAGGGAACGTTATGCTCCAAACTGTGTGCACCAACGTTGGCAGTGTTGTGGTATAGACAGAAATCAAGGTGGAGTGAGTGAGTGAGCTTAGTTTTACGCTGCATTCAACAATTTACCAGCTATATGGCAGCGGTCTGTAAATAATCGAGTCTGAACCAGACAATCCAGTGATCAGCAGCATGAGCAGCGATCTACGCAGTTGGGAACAGATGACATGTGTCAACCAAGTCAGCGAGCCTGACCACCCGATCCCGTTAGTCGCCACTTACGACAAGCATGAGTTGCCGGTTATGTACCTGATCAAGCATCCATGACATGCGATGGATAAGTGTATGCGCTACGTTCATTCTGTTTTTACGATATATAGGCATTCTAACATGTATCACTAAGTACATGTAGGCCTAACCATCCACAAGATAATTATCAATAACTCTACCCCGAAGTACATTGACCGATTCGCTCGTTCTACCTTGCCAAGCTTGAGATGAAGCATGCTGAATTTGTGTGAAAGATACGCCCAAGACGCTCTCGACAATGAAATTCTTGTCTCTGTCAAGGTCCTCAGTAGTACCTCAATGCCATTAGTTGCATCTGTTTTGAACAGTATATTTGGTTTCATTAATCCATACTTTAATTTGCAATTAAGTTTTTATAGGGAAAAAATGAAAGCCACTGATGGCGACGCGACATGTTTATGTAGTAGTAGTAGAAGTAATAGTAGTAGTAGTAGTAGTTAGTAGTAGTAGTAGTAGTAGTAGTAGAAGTAGTAGTAGTAGAAGTAGTAGTAGTAGAAGTAGTAGTTGAAGTAGTAGTAGAATTAGTAGTTGTAAAGTAGTAGTTGAAGTGGTAGTAGTTGTAGTAGAATTAGTAGTAGTAGTTGTAGTAGTAGAAGTAGTAGTAGTAGAAGTAGTGGTTTAGTTGTAGAGTGAGTGAGTGAGTTTAGTTTTACGCCGCTTTTAGCAATATTTCAGCAATATCACGGCGGGGGACACCAGAAATGGGCTTCACACACTGTACCCATGTGGGGAATGGAACCCGGGTCTTCAGTGTGACGAGGCTACCCCACCGCACCAGTAGTTGTAGAAGTAGTAGCACTAGTAGTAGTAGTAGTAGTAGAAGTAGTGGCACTAGTAGTAGAAGTAGTAGCAGTAGTAATAGTAGTAGAGGTAGTAGTCGAAGTAGTAGTAGCTGCAAAAGTAGTAGTAGAATTAGTAGTAGTAGTAGTATTTAGTAGTAGTAGTAATAATAATAATAGAAGTAGAAGTAGTATTTGAGGTAGTTGTTGTAGGAGTAGTAGTAGTAGCAGAAGTAGTAGTTAGAAGTAGTAGAATTAGTAGTAGTAGTTGTCGTACTAATTGTAGAATTAGTAGTAGAAGTAGTAGTAGTAGTGTAGTAGTTGTAGAAGTAGTAGTAGAAGTAGTAGTAGTAGCGTTGGAAAAAGGTCGTCACAGTTACGCTTTATGAATAAAAAGACATATACAACACAAGTCATGTGACGACCGCATTGTAGGTACTCGAAAAAGTAAAATACGCAGGGATAGAATTATTGACAATAATGATCATAATAAGTGCAGTTATAATGCACTAGGTGTATGCTCATAGCGCTGACAATCAAAGACCAGCAGCAAATTATTACCGCGGATAACCCATGTTGCCTGTGAGACGCGGGAAGGATAACAGTGACTTATCCCACCGGGTACCTTCATGCATTTTCTGCTGGGTGAACAGAGGCACTTTTAATCCAACTCAGTTGCCTAAGGTGAGGCCACATGTATCACTTGTGCTTCGGTAGGAGTCGCGGTAAGAAGGTCTGGTACATCCTTTACACTGACACATATACATACTTATGGTGTTGGTTCTTCCGCAGGCCCATCAATCTGGACACCAGTGAGACTGCAGGGAGCGTACAAGTGTTTGATCCGAGGGAATGGTAAGAACGTGTGTAGGATCCTCTGATTATAAATGTGTTCATTGTTGAACTTCGGGTAAATGTTCATTCCCAAAGAAAAAACGCCACACATAAAAATAGAAAGTTCGTAATACGAGGGGCTATTAAAAAGCTTTGAGCCTAAAATACTTTTTATATGTGCATGATAAAAATAACTGTATGATATTGAAGAATGGTTTATATCATTCACATAAACGTTATATTGACATGTACATGTCGCTAGTTTCCGGTCACGTGACATCTAATCATATGTACCCCTATTGAAACGGCTGAAATGGATAAGCTTGAGTACAGAGCAGTCATAAAGTTTTTGGTCCTTGAGGGCCACCCGGCAAGCACACTGAAGAGCGACTGACAGCAGTACGAGTACTGAGTCCCATTGGGTTGCATATAGGATAACTATAATATGCCTGTATAACTCTGACCTCTTATAATGGCTGTGGGGTAGCCTATTGGTTACAGTGTTTACTTGTCAAGCAAACGGTCCGGGTTTGTTTTTTGTATGAACTATCATGATATGGATCTTTGGTCCCAGTGAGGGTTCCGGTGAAACCCCTTTTCTAAATGGCGTGCTGATCTGGTTGTGGGGAATTAACTCAGCAAAGAGTCAGAAGTCACAAGATGCTAATCACAATTTTATTTACAAGAATGGAATAACATGGGGGTGGCCATAGAGAGGCGGTACAACCCTCTGGGCTTAGGGCTAGAGCTGACCTGTGTTGGGAGAGTCTAAACCCTACTGACTAACAGTTGATTTCAAACTATTTATCTAGACTTGAAACAGTAAAGAGATTACGATTCGTTAACTGATACAAAAATGGGTGTGATCTACAATAACCAATGAAATACAGAATATACAGAATGGGGTGTCCTATAATAATCACTGAAATGACCATACAGAGGGGAGTGCTTAATCATGCTAATCCTTCTTCAACTGGCACTGTTGGTACATTTACCGGATACTTGGATGCTTACCCTGGGCTAGATCTTAACGAGCGTAATTTGATGTGTCAATTACAGGTGATGACATGTTTACTTTATAATATAAATAAATCAAAGCAATTAATAAACAGTGTAGACGTGGCTTCTGTCTTAGTGAAAGGTGTGACCAACAGTTGAGTCCTTCATACCTTAGGCAAGGATTTATCTGGAGACATCTGTGAAATTGTGCAGTCATAACTATACCTTTTTCAATAGTATGTCTGAGATGAGTTTTATTACTTATGACGTGAGTCTTTATCTAAGCTATTACTGATACGTGATGAAACAAATATTCCATATTTATATTTTCCGAATATCTGAATCCTAATATTTTGCTGGTAGTGGTAATAATGAATAATGAATTTTGTATGAATTATTATTCCATGATAGAACCATATGTTATCGATTTTATTCGTTTGATTAGATTGTCACAGATACCTGTGGTGAGGCAGACTTTGGTTGCGTTTTCGAAAACATCTGTTACCATGGCTATTTCACAGCAAGTCTTGTCAGCCAAGCTTTTGTAGTTGCCAATGAGATTACATATAGTCATTGAAGACATTGCATCGCACTGCTTAACGCAACATAAATCATATGTTGAATCATAGATACACTGCTAAAGTCATTACGTGGAATCATAACATATTTTATGTTTGTTCTGTAAAAATTCAACACTCCCATTTCTTTGGAGTGACAGATTGATTACTGTTTAACGGCGCATCAGCAGTCATGCAGCTATTAGAGGTTGTTGGTCCGCAGAAATAATGCTGTCCAATTTTAATGAGTAAAATGAAGACGGGTGTCCCGTTATCTTGCAATTTACTCTCTTTATTGGCGAAATGTCACACGCCTAAATCCTATTCACTTCATTTAACCATGGTTAAAATTGTATAATGTTTGCACTGTAAGCTGATCAACATGTATTTATGCTATTTAATAACTGTTTAATTATATTGAATGTGGGAAGGCTACGATAATGCGTTACTATAACACATGTGTGAGCATACGTGTGTCTCCACTGTACATTGTGTGTACGATGTGCTTGTGTGAGCTTTTATTTGGCATTCCTTTCTCCAATTATCAGTGGAAAGTGGAAAGGAGAGGTGTCTGCACAAGGTGTTAATGCAGACCTCCAGATTTGCTCAAAATAGGAAACTATACTTGAAAACAAGCATAGCTCGTTTCACTTTGAGCTACCTGCGAAATACTCATGAAGAAATCGAATAACCGAAGCCTATTAATACCTATCAGTAATGTAACTTTAATCAGTTATGGAATCCATAGGATATAAAGCTTTAAAAGAGATCAAACATTAATTGCACTTCACCAAAGCTTCTCTGCTGCATTTTATTCCTTTTTCAAATTACAATTAATACTCATCTTAATACCCTCACTGTTTAGGATATATAGTTTTAACAAACATTAATTGTACTGTTAGACTGAGCTAAAATAGATAAAATGCTATTTAGAGAGGCAGTTTACATACATTAGACTGAACTAAAACTGTTAAAGTGCTATTCACTTTTTACTCAATAAATGTGCTATATAATATGCTGTTTTTGTGCATTTCAATAACATAATAAATACGTATTTTATCTAGTATATCACAGTAACAAGAATAAAAACTAGACATATCTCTAAAATAGGATTTTAAATCAGGACAAGACAATATAAAAAAAGGGCTGAGTATTGCAAACAACTGAAGGTAGATCACCAGACTAGGGTCCATGGGGACTTACAGTACTATTGAGTGAGTGAGTGAGTTAGTTTAGTTTTACGCCGCACTCAGCAATATTACAGCTATATGGCGGCGGTCTGTAAATAATCGAGTCTGGACCAGACAATCCAGTGATCAACAGCATGAGCATCAATCTGCGCAATTCGGAACCGATGACATGTGTCAACCAAGTCAGCAAGCCTGACCACCCGATCCCGTTAGTCGCCTTTTACGACAAGCATAGTCGCCTTTTATGACAAGAATGGGTTGCTGAAGACCTATTCTACCCCGGATCTTCACGGGTCATTGATATCTGAATGGACCCTAGCTAGATTGACACCACCCCTACAACTGCTGGCGATGGTACTGATATCTGTTAGCAACATTAAACTACAAATATTCTACGATTTAAACGTTTATTTGAGGTAAATTGACTTTGAAAGTTTTGGGACTTACGTACCCTCTCAGGAGGACAATCATTACAGGATTGTATGGGTTCCAGTAATCTTTGTATGCAAACTTCATCCTTGGAGCACGTGGAGCACAGCGGTGTAGTGGTTAGCATGCGGGCCTCTCACGCCAAAGGCCTGGGTTCGAATCCCGGTGGAGACACCAAAATTTGTGACCTGGGTCTCATGCTGTGTTGTGTCCTTGGGCAAGGCACTTCGTCCACATTGCACTTAGTCCACCCAGCTGTTCAAATGGGTACCTGAGAAGCGGATGTACGGACCTATACGGTCGCGCGAAGCGCTTAGTAGCAGCTTTGAAAGTAGAATTCAGTCAGGGTAATAATGTAACGCCCGAGCGCAGCATCGTGCTGGATTCTAGGCGCAAAAATTAGCATTATATTTATCCTTTTCATTTTGAAACTTCTCATAATTAGCAACGCCGAAGATGTTCTTCTGCTGTACACTGAGGTACGTTGCAAACATAACTCCATATTTCTGCATGATAACATACTATCAATCATTATAACTCTACAAACTCTGAAAATGTATTTCATATTTGAAAACATGAAAGCGATACATAATATTGCGTTAATATGAAATCGGTGTTGATCATATTATTAACGTGTTTTTATGAATCACTATCAAAACGTGGTACAAGATGTCCGGCGTATTCCAGATGAATTAAGTGGACGCTTCCGCGTCTTTTTAATCTTCAGGCACTGGGCAGTTCTGGAAGGGCTACTACCCCTTGTCAATACAAGAATCGATCTGTCGGGGCCTCTATACCCGGCCACAAGACATCGCCCGGCATGTGAAGAAATTCTGTCTCATAGCCGAGAATCTGGATAGACACTACCAGAACAAGTTCTATGCCATGGGGCAGAACATGGCCATGGTCCTCACCAAAGCATATGACCAAGTTCTGGAACAATATGACGTTCTTGTAATGCCGACTTTACCTCACAAGGCGCCCAAGTTGCCCAAGGCGGATGACGGTAAGATCTCAACAAATTTGTTTTCACAGAAAACACAAACATTCCTTTCTCGGTGGGTGAGTGAGTGTAGTTTTACGCCGCTGTTTGCAATATTCCAGCAATATCACGGCGGGAAACCAGCAATGGGTTTTACACATTGTACCCATATAGGGATTCAAACGCCGGTCTTCGACCTGACGGGGAACACTAGGATACCTCACCGCCAAGGAAATAATACAAGTAATTTCGGTTTAAAATTTTATACATTCAATTTTTACAGATGTGTTAAGAACACTGGTCTGCTTCTCATCCTTGGACCAGATTGGTATCGGTTAAATAATCCTTTTTTTCATTTGAGCATTATTTATTATAAGCAGGGATTCTGCAATAATGGGGAGTGATGACATATACACTTTCTCTGTCACGGTCATTGGTGGTCTTCACATATTTCAAACATTTCATTACATATATAATCGTAAAGGTGAGCTGCTGTGCCCTGACTCTAGGTTTTGTTCACACTAGAGCAGTCAAAGTCGATGGCTCCCAACACAGTGCCCTTCAATAGCACCGGGCATCCAGCTCTCTCCATCAATGCCGGCTTCAGTGAAGGACTTCCGGTGGGGATGCAAATAGTTGGACGCCATTTTGACGAGACAACAGTCCTCCAAGTGGCGAGAACATACGAGAAATTAAGGGATATGAATAAATAAAATACTTTCACGCATGTTTAATTCTGGGTATTGGCGACAGGAGTATATTATTATCAAACAAATATTTCATACAAATATTATTATGCAAGTACCGTTCTTTGTCCCGATTGGCATTTGTTCCCCCGACAACTAAACTTGAATAACAATAGGTATCTGTTTTCACAACAAGTCTTGAGACCTTCAAATGAGAAGTGTAGGCGTAGATTATTTGTTGACATTTTTCTTTTTTGTTGAGTGTAATTCCATTGCACTGAGGACTGTACAAGAAACGTTCCTCGTTTGGTGTAATATAATTAAATGTGCACTTGATTTTACACCCTGAAAGTCTTTGCAAACATGGTTCATAACAGACAATAAATAAATCATATTTTTAGTTTTGTTTCTCTAAATCAATGAACATGGTGAATACCCTTTGTTAAAAAGTCTCCTTTGTGTAGACCATTCCCCACGCTGAACAATATTGTATTGAATATGGCACTCTGTGTTGAACAATGCTTTTGCGGTATACACCAACCTTTGTGTTGAGCAGTCCCTCTGTGTTGACCTTTACCCATGTTGAGCAGTCCCCTCTGTGTTGACCATTACCCATGTTGAGCAGTCCCCTCTGTGTTGACCATTACCCATGTTGAGCAGTCCCCTCTGTGTTGACCATTACCCATGTTGAGCAATCCCACTGCTGAACAATCCACTGAAATGAGTAGTCCCTTTTGTGTAGTACATTACTACCCTCTTTGCTGAACATATCCGATCAGTGCTGAACATAACACACTGTTGAACCTTACTCTGTATCGATCATTTCCCTCTGTCTTTGACCACAACCCTCTGTGTTGAACATTATCCTCTGAAATGTAATGTACTTGACAATTATTGAATGATATCAGATCATTGATATAAACTACTGTACTGTGCATTATTTGATGTTATGCCATTTTTTTTTAAGGCAAAAAGATAAGAACATGTTTTCCTTACACAGTGATTAACTGTTCACAATGACTAGTTGTGTCCGACCATGAGATGTGATGGCACCCCATACCATAACGCTCGCGTCACCAAACTGTCGACGTTGAACAACGCACGCGTCAGCGTACCGTTCACCTCGCCATCTGTACACCAGTGCCCTGCTATCTGAGCTACACATATGAATTTCGACTCGTCAGTGAACAAAACACCACCACAATCGTGTCTCCTGTACCGTAGATAACTGATTGGACGTAAGCCAGTAATTGTCCGAGCAGTCGCGTGACGACCGGTGGACGACCAGTCCGAGGTAATTCTCTCGTTTTCCCATTATGCTTAAAACGTCTCCATTGAGATGAGATCGTGTTTCGATGGATACCAAAATGTCTGGCTACTTACGCACAGTGTATGTTGGAATTAACGTGTTTTCCACAACATTCAGAGGTCAGAGAATAATCAACCGTTCTTTAATTTTCAATATCAGGCGTGTGAACTTCCAGTGTCAAAAAGCATGCAAAAAGCGAGCATGTTCCTTGTGCACAGATTGCACGTGCCATACTACATATTTAATTAGGGCCTTTTTCAACCAAAAAATTGTTTGAGGCAATTTTATGTTATGCACAGTTACCGTTATTTTCCGTAAGTATACATGAAGCTTACGTTACACTACTTACCCAAATTATGCCTTGAAGAGCTGGGATTCTGCTTCATGAAAAGACATGGGTCGCTGAAAATCAATTCTAATCCTGATCTTCACGGGCCCCTTGGTACCTGTTAGAAATATTTGTGAACATATTAACAGTCAAAAACAAATTACCTCAATAGACTAGCAAAGTAATCGATCAATGGTATTGCTACTGGGCTAAATCATTGTCATTTTAACGAAATGATACTTCTCAGAAAACCATCATGTTGGGTTACATGCAAAACGGTTTTAAGTGAGTGTGAGTGAGTGAGTTAATATTTAGCGTCACATCTGCAATACTTAAGCCATATCGTGACGACAACAATTCGTTTATAGTCGATGAATAAATTAAGAACATAAAAACCTGTCAACGATGGACAGCTACAGTACTAAAATTTCAGTTACATAGTTAAAACTAGCATGTGAACATTAAAAAAATATTTCATTAAAGAGAAGAATACAATATTGAAACGGGCTGTAGATCACGATCAACTGAAGGTAGATCATCACACTAGGGACCATGGGGACTTACAGTACCTTTGCTACCTGCATGGACCCTAGCTGGGTTTATATCTCCAGGTTATGTCAGTTTTTGACCAAATTAGCCATACATTAAAATAACATAACTTCTTACGTACCCTCTCCCAAGGATTATTATACACTCCTGTAACCCCCTTTACAGCCACTAACAATCATAGTTATTTATTCACTCGACCAAATTAAAAACTAAAACTTATCAATTACCTTACTATTTGAACATGATCAATATTTAGGAATTAAATCACTTTTTTAAAACACTAAGAATTAAATGAGGCTTAAATGAAAATTATGTTTTAATAATATTAATAATGATGGCACTTGTATTGTGCTATATCCACGCCATGAAGGTATGCTCAAAGCGCATTGCCTCAAACCATGGTAACAGAGACAGCTGAGTTCTTCACAATGGTATGGGTTTTGGGGGTTTTCTTTTCAGGTATACTGCTTGAAAAGGTGGGTTATAAGACTGGAGTTAAAAGTTTCTAGAGATGGAATCAACTTCAGTGATTCGGGTGGAGAATACCACAGAGTAGCGGCTGAGACAGAGAAGGTTCGGGGCCGAAAGTTTTAAGTTTGGTGACAGGCACCCGAAGGAGGTGCTGTTAACTAGAGCGCAGTGTTCTTGAAGGGACCAGCCTATCACAGTCAGATCACTCAGATAGGCTGGTCCAGTACCATGGGCAGCTTGTAAGTGAGCGAGAGTATTTTGAATATGATTCGCTCAGGAATGCGGAGCCAGGGAAGCGAGTTGGGCACTGGTGTGATGTGTGCTTTTATGCTCGTCCGAGTGACCAATCTGGCAGCATAATTCTGGATGTCTCATCTGTTGACTTGTGATTCCATTGTGTAAACTGTTGCAATAATCTAATCGAGAGAATATCAGAGATCTCACAAGGGAGGCAGCTGCATCTCTCGTCAGCAAATGTCTGATGGCAGGATTCCTCAGGAGGTAATGGCTGACCTTGCAGCAGTGGCTCACGTGATCTTCCATGAATAGCAAGTCAAGGTACACACCGAGGTTCTTGACAGATGATTTGAAGGTGATGTCTGCTGATCCAATGGAGAAATGTTCCAAGGTACATTTCCGTAATCTGGATGGAGGTCCGAACCGAATCATATCCGTTTTGTCTGAGTTGAGTTTCAGCTTTTCCATCCATGTACTGACATCAGCAATGCACTGTTCCATTGCATGTTTTGATTCAGATTGACTGACGGGTGTTGACTTGAAGTTGTTCTGTACTTGCGTGTCGTCTGCATAGAAGTGATGAGGTATCTGATGTTCTTCAATACACTGACCTAGAGGTGTTGTATAAAGGGTAAAAAGTATTGGCCCCAACACTGATCCTTGTGGAACTCCACAGAACAATGTCGCTGAAGTGGACATCTCATCACCAATTAGGACTGCCTGTGACCTGTTTGTGAGGTACGATCCAAACCACTGAAGCGCTGTCCGCACTGTGCGTTCATTTTGATGAAGTTGCTGCGTTGTCGCATTGTCGCGTGTCGCGCTTTGCTTGAAATATTAAATTCCGACTATAGTATGCTTTATAACCACAGGGGTTCGCATTATCACGCGTGTGAAATATTGACTCTAGTATGATAAACATCGACAGTTTCCGTAAACATCGACAGGATTTTGTAATGACTCGGAAACACAAAACGGCTCAGCCTGGTTCCCAGGGTCTGCTGCGCTAGCACTTCGCCACTGCAAAAGCCATTTATTATCTAATTCATTTCTCATGTATTATGAGGAAATAATTGATGAAGTTCAAACGATTGTTTTTTAACTACGGGTATGCTTGTAAAATGTCGGCTCTCAGTAACATAATACAGAAATATCTATTCCTTAACTTGAGCTACTTTGGTACTTATACTTTGTAAAAAAAAATTAAACAGATCCATCCATGTACATACTGTTTTCACAGAATGTTGTCACATTAAGTGTCTGAATCGGTTTGCAAAACAACATGAAACAGTTCTACCAGTATTATTCGGAAATGTTTATGATTAAAATAAACATGGTGAATCAAATGATCTGTACATAAAAATACACACAAATATCCTGCTCAATACAATGCATTTGACACACGATTTTACTAAAATGAATATATAAAAATACACAGTATGATCAGTATGCTAATACACCACCATAAAATACATACATTGCCTTAAAAGTACATACATTTGAAAATAAACTTTCAAGACAGATGTTCATTCCACTATTTGTGATTTTTGCCAATGAAACTTGTCTTGGTACTGTAGTTTTTATGGCTTGAAACCAGTGTCAGAATATACATTTGCTATATATTGATCATTTTATGCATGATAACCCTGGTGATATTAGAATAGATCTGATACATGTTATTCATCATATAATTTGATATCAGCAATTATTCAGCCAGATAGCAGTTAACAAGTTTGATTAAATGCTGCAATGGAGTCTTTTTCCTTTACTTAATTATACTTTAGGGCTGTGCGTCAAACATAGTTCAACACATAATCAGTGATTTTGCTTTGAATTTTGGAGAATGACAGTTGTTGTCAGATGCACGAATTTGTTGACCAGTTGATATTTTTTTAAAATTAAAATTGTATGGTGTGTATCTTGAAATTGGGTCTTTATATAGATATTGGGTATTGTGTTAACACCTAAACTTATTTTGGACTAAAGCACTAACTACTCTTGGTGTACAGAGTGAAAAGGCTATTATGACATTGTACATATATTAAAAGAAATTTGGAAATATACCATGTCCAGATGTATTTAAGATATGTGATGCTATGGTTGTTCATATAGTGTGTTATGGTGCAGAAGTATATTGGACCTCATTATTATTGAATTATTGAAGATGTACAGTATAAAATGTGTAAATGGTTTCGGAAAACAATATATGGTATGGTTTGCCGTTTGGGGAGAATCATGTGGCGCAGCCCCACTCCAAAGTATTGGTGCAGGCTCCTGTATTTGGATGAACACAGGCTGCCAATGCTACCTAATGGCTGTACCACATTGGCTACTCGTATTAAAAATGTTCTGTTTAGACTTGGATTTGAAAATGTGTGATTAACACAAGATGTGGGAAATGTAAAGATATTTATTCTCCTTTCTAAACCATGATTATTTAACAACCTACAACTATCATGGTGTTGTTCTATCAACAGTTTATCTGATTCATTTTACATAAAAAACT